TCTTGCTAGGCAAAGGAAAATAATTACGCCTATGACTCCACACGGTGTAGACTTTAGAGGTAGAATTGACTAAACAAATAAACTACATTACTAATCAACAACATTATTATCATTTGTAAATTATGAAAATTTATTAAGGAAGACCAAAAGTGGCAAACCGAATAAAGAAGAAATTTATGCTATCAAACAAATCATGCACGACGGACACAATAATAAAGGAAGTTTTATCATACAAATTGCACAAGAATTTGTAAAGCATGAAATAGAAGTATACCTCAACTAGCACATACTTGGGAACCTTTTGATAAGTCAAATAAAGTAGGTGAATTGCATAGGTTTATATTGCTTGCTTAAAACACGCATCCATATTTTGATCGAAATATAAGTCATGAATCCCAAAACCGAAAAAAAAGAATTGAAATTCTAATCCAAAGATTCAAACCATAGGAAAGTTTGCATATTAAACAATTAAAAAATCTCTTTCTTTGATGTCAAACATTAACACTTATACATCCATTTGCAAAGTCATAACTTATAATTTCTCCATTTGTTACGATGATAGAACCACTTGCTTTTCTTCCAATATGACCTGTCTCAACCAATATCTATAGAAAAGCAATAACTTCATCAAAATGATCATAAATTACACGAGATAAAATTGATTATTTAAACACAACAACAATGAGCAATCTCGAATAATGATGACAAAACTAAACTGAAAAATCAAACACAAGTTTGCATTTCAAGTTGGCGGATGGACTATTTCAATAGAATTAGCGAGAATTGAACACGAAAAAATGACCTCGTAAGTAAGTAGGTGGTTAAATGGTGCAAATCTAGATCGAAAGATGAGAGAATTAGTTGATAGGAGTAAAAAGTTGAGAGATTGGGAAAAAAAAAAAGGTTTAGGAGATTTAGCAAAGGAGAATGAAAAAGAAACTAAAATGGGAGTTTGGCCTTGTCTTGCTCCTAACTCACTTTTGCGGAATTAGCAATAGCCATTGCAAAAATTTTGGTTAAGACTGGAGAGTAAAATGGCATAGATGTCTTTAATAAAATTAGGGTTTATGTTTTATTTCAAAAAAAAAAAAAAAACTATGTTTCATTGGTTATAGATTTTTTATCTCGAATTCATATTTAACCATTTGGGACGACTTAATTTTGTCCCTAATTTATATTAACCATGTGGGATGACTTGGTTTTTCGTCCTTAGCTGATATTTAACTATGTGGAACGACTTGGTTTCGTCCCTTATAGATATTTACTTTTTGGGACAACTTAGTTTTTCATCCCTAATAGATATTTAACTTTGTGAATAAATAAGTTATGTTGTTAAATAATTTTAGATTTTAAACCATATTTTTAAATAATTTTAGATTTTAAACCATATTTTTTGTCTCAAAATATTATAATTCATCTTAAAATAATTTTTTTTTCCACAAGAGATATGAGTGAAAAGTTAGGTGCGGGGTAAAATATTGGGCGCCAATGATTTGAGGACAAAAATATGTATTTCGTTAAGAAATATTTATATTTTGGGATGAAAATGAATTCGTAGGAAAAAGTTTCGTAGCTAAATTCAAAAATTATTTTAGTTAATTATTTGAGTGACAATACTCATACGTTTATCCCTATGGTGTAGTGCATGAACCCCATAACAAAGGAGACATTAAGTTTCTTTAAAAAAAAACTTTTAATGTGGTATACGGTTCTTTTTTAATGAGATGTTAGAGTTATAAGAGCATCCTTAATAGACACATATATATGAGTGAGGAAGTGAGGTCACTTTCTATGAGAATAAGACTAATTCTTTACAATATTTATAAAAGCCGAATTAAGCACAAGGTCATCATGTGCTAACTGCGAAGCTCATCGTATAGTATTTGGATATAATATGCGTGATATAATATTTGTTTATCATAAAAATCCTTAGTTCAAGATAATATTAATTATTGGCTCGAGGGCAATATTGTTGAAACATTAAGTAAGGATTCAAGCCATAGACACCCTTATTATATATTATATTTTTTTCTTACCTAAAAGATATGAGTTATATTTTATATATAAAAAAAATAAGTGAGGGATTTTTGAATTATTTTTTAATAAAATATAGAATACTATACTTATTATTATTAAATAAAAATAATAATAAAGTATTCAATGCACCATTTAATATGGTACATTAAAATACATTTGTTACAAGAGTTATATTATTTTAATCAATTAAGAAACAACTGCATTCTTTATAAAATAAGTTACTTACCATTTCTATAAGTATTAAATGCACTTAATGTTTGAGAAATAATGATTGCATTTATTTTTTCCTTTTAAAGGATCTTTCACAATGCCTATATATTTAGAGAGAGAGAGAGAGGCTATTGTTTATTTGATGGATGACATAAAAAAAGTACAAGTTACTATTTTGAAATAGTAATAGGTATTGTTTCAAAATATTCATTTAGATATTAAAATGCTAGGCTGCCATTTATTCTCATTAAAAAAATAAAAATATTTGGTTTTAAATTCTCGCATTCATTCTTCTCAAATGACCACCTTCTTCTATCTTATAAATACTAATATATATGAGTTTAGTGGTATTCTAACTCATGGTGGTAATCCTTATTTTAAAACTTTTATTGATGATTTCTCAAAATATTCATATATTTTTCTTATGAAGCATAAAAATGAAGCTTTTGAAAAATTTATTAATTTTTTAAAAGAAGTTGAAATTAGATTTGATAAAAAGATCAAAAGACTTAGCGAGTGATAGAGATATGGAATATGGCTTTATTAGTTTTAATAATTTTATGCTAATGGTATTGTGCATGAAGTTACAACTCAAATGGTGTAGTCGAAAGAAAGAACAAAACTCTAATTGATCCGATAAATTCTATGCTTGTTAGTTCTAATGCTCCAAATAATTTATGAGGTGAAGTTGTTTTATCTACAAATTTTGTTTTGAATGGAATTTCTCATAAAATCACATTTTTCACTCCTCATGAATTATGGAAAGATTATAATCCAAAATTAGATTTTTTTAAGAGTTTGCGCTTGTTTAGCTTTTGTTAGACTACATGATCCTAAAAGATCAAAACTTGGTAAAAAAAAAAAAAAAAAAGCTTCTACTTGTGCTTTTTGGGTTATGTTTTGAATAGTAAAACCTATAGATTTTTTTATTTTGATAATAAAGCTATTATTGAATCTTTGGATGCTATCTTTCATAAAAACAAATTTCCTTTTAAAGCATAAAATAGTGGGGGTATGATTCTTTAACCAATAATTGAATCTTCTTCTTCAAGATTTGAAAATAAAAATGATTTTGAACCAAGAAAAGAGTAAGAGAATCAGATTTGAAAAAGATTTTAGTTCGATTACTACTTATATAATGTACAAGATGATCCTATTTCTTCAAAACAAACCTTATCTTCTTGATTTTTGGGTAAGAGTGGTGCTAATATATTTAGAATTTCAAGTTTTGTAAACGAGTGTAAATTTATTAAGATACGACAAAGTGATCGACTTTGTACCATGACACGTGGTAACATCATTTTAATTTTGATTTTTTTGATGATTAAAGTAAAAAATTTCAATTCTTTTGTCCATCTTAATTTATAATAAATTTATTTTTTTATTTTGTTAATTTTTATTATTTAATTATGTTCTTTTTGTGTGGTAGAAACAACAAGAAGCATACATAATTTTCAATTTTTGAAATTTAAAACAATAAGATTAATCTTGTTAAGTTCTTTTATTTTATTTTAAATGAATCTTTAGCATGTAGATTCTTCAACAGTTTCTTGAAAATGTGTTATTTATATCTAGTCAAAAATGAAAGTTTCTAACAATAATGTTTGGTTCATCATTGGAAATTGATGAAGAAATTGAGTATATCTACACCCCACACCCCAGCCCAACAACACACACATATATTGCTTGAAACATAGTTTGTTAGTCAAGGACGTGTGGTTTCTTCCTTGACTTATTAATTTCGAACCTTGAGACCAGACCGATGAGGAAAGTTCACTTCTTAGATTATCAAATAAAAAATAAATTGTCTCAAATGGGTTCTCTCCATTCCCAAATCTGATTGTAAGTGAAATTATTTACCTAAAACATTAGTGTTATTATTAGTAAAAACAAGTACCTATTAGTAAAGTTAACAACTCATGAGTCACAAGGGTATTTGAGTTGAAAAAAATAATAATCAAATGTCTTGATTGACCTCTCAAATTCTTCTCATTTCAAATGAGGATCCCATTCCTAACTCTATGAACGATTTAATGTTCTAAAACGAGTGACATTTTAAATTTCAGAAATTACAAAGAATCCATACAAATACTTACATTTTTAATTACTTTCTCTGGAAAATCTTGAATGTCTTTACATAAAACACTCCCTAAAGAACAATAATGTCTCGCAATAATACTACCAAGAACTCCTTTGAGAATGTCATAGGTTTCAACGGATTTATAGCATGTTTTGCCCATAAAGTATTGTAATTTGACAATTTCAAATCCAAAATATCTAATTGCGTAGTTTGAATTTCAAAATATTAAAAATTAAATAAATATGATCCTAATTATTTTTTCTTTGTTATTTTTAATGATCAACTGTTACTTGAATTTTTATTTTATTATTATTATTTTTTTTAATGAAATCCAAGAGGAATTGAAGGGTTTTATGGAAGACGACATGTCGTCTCCTTTACCCCCTTCCAATTCCTCATATGAATTTATTTCTAGAATAAACATTAGGGCATCCATTAATTCCATCCACCCAGTCATTTTAACTGAATTGAACTTGGGCGAATACTAATTGACTCTTAACTAATTGGGATTGAGACTTAATCGAGCTAATTTGGGTCAAATTGAGTAATAGACTTTTGGAATGTGGTTAGGTCTGCAATTGTCTCTTTCTTCCCTGTCTCTCTGAATTGTGATTACTGACACCAAATGAATTCCAGTGGCTTGCCTAAAAGGAGAGCAAAAAATTAGCCGGCCATGGCAGGCTCCGTCTTGCCTCTCTGCAGTCTCTGTCAAGGTTGCAAAGCACAACAGACAGTCACGGGTTGTATTTTGTGTTTGATCGTTGGAGCAGAATACGTTGACGAGTGTCGCATCAAAGAAATTACTGCAACATGGATCAGTTGTGAAGAGATTCACTATTGGATAGTCTCGACAGAATAAATAACTTCTATTTTTCCCTTCGGATTTTTAGGTTCCCGGCTGGCCGGCCTATGTTTCTGTGCTTCCCTTTCTTGTGTGTAATTTTCGAAACTCTTTATGCCATGCGGCTCACCTGCGAACAGTGATGTAGCAAAAGACATTATTATGGATATCACATTTTACTGATACAGAAAACTAAGTTTAGCGTTATGGAACCCTTAATACTTATAACGAATGGATCATTCCTGCCATCGACCATACTCTAGGATATAGCGCTTGAAGGGTTCTTCTGAACTGGATGGGTCTTCCATAATCTTGTGCGTCGCAATGGAACTACATTTAAGTGTTGGAAATCAAGTGGAGAACCATTGTTTCCTTGGCAGGAAGAAAGAACTTGATGTATCTATCCATAAAACCCTTCAATTCCTCTAGGCTTCCATTAAAATAATAATAATTAAGTAGTGATTGACAGTTAGAAATAATAAGGATTGAACAATTTGTATCATATTTACTCTTGGATCCAAAATTGCCAAATTACAATACTTTGAGAGCAAAATATGCCATAAAACCAAGTTTCAACTTATTCACTTCCCCGAACACTCACATGGACATGGGAAATGGAGTTATCAGTTTTTGACAACAAAGATAATCAAAATTCTCATAGAAATATGAATTTGCATACAACGTTTATGTTACAACAAGCTCATGCCATCTATCAATTAATTCAGTCAAGTACGGAATTAAATACCTATTAAAATTTTTGGGGGGAAATGGAAGACATTCTCTACAATGTTCTAGGTCAAAAATATTATCTTCAATGAAAGCAGGCATATACTGTGCTGTGTGCTTATGCCTGCAACGAAATTGGTGCTACACTTGTGTAAGCAGCACCCTTGACTTTCTTACGTGAACTGTCTTTAGATTTGTTAGATTTCCGTTTCTTTGAGGGAGCCTTATCTTTCAAGATTTCTGAAGTCAATTCTTGCTCTTGATCAGCATTTTCTACTAAAAGCTTAGCATCACCTTCTTTCATTTCTGCACCATGAGTATCTGGTTCAATTACTGACATTCCATTTAGGGTGTAGTCGAGCAAAAATGTGCTTCTCACGAGTCTGTCTATCCTGCTGAAATGCCTCTGAGAATATGGGATAAGACCTTCAAGGAGTTCCCCGATGCCTCTTATCTGAACATCAACACAATCAAACAGCTAAGTTGGACATGCATATTTTAAGAGTTGACAAATTATTTAAATGATTTTTGATTAATTTCATTCTTCTACAAAAGTAAACTAAAACAGTCAAACTGTCAGACCCCATTAAGTTTTGACCAGTAGCATTATCCCTTCAGCAACCAAGAGTGATTGAAAAAATTCACACCAACCACCTAATTATGTTCTCAATAGAAATTGTGGCACACCTCAGAATCTTCACTATACCAAAAATCTAGATTCATGGATTTTGCAACAAGCAACAAGATTATGATTGCATACACAAACACAATAGACAAGCTTTGAGGAATCTATTATAAATTATTCATCCTTAATAGCATCGTAATGGACGCCAAAACAAGAAATGGAACATAAAGCGACAAATAATATTACAAAGACTTCAATATTTGGGTCGTTCTATATTCAAAATCTGATGTATGAGTATCTACACTGAGGCTGCCTCATACTTAACTAGTAGTAATTAGAAGCCTATGATATGAAGCATGCTATGGACCATCTCTATGTTAAGCTGAAACAGTTGAGCCATGAGAGGTTATCACAGAATCCAGTGAAATGCTTTTTTATGCATGTGTTACCATGAATAATTGAATTAATGATAAGTCAGGTAATCACCTCAAGAATTTCTGTTGGAGGAAGGATGTTGAAAACTCCAAACAACACATATTGTGCAACGTGACACAACTTTGGCTTGGTATTCCATTCACGTACATACTCAAAAAGTAGATGAATTTCTTCCTTACCAAGAACACGGAGAGCTTTGTCTATCTGATTGCTGCCTTCCTTCTTCCTGCAGGATACTTGAACAAGGTAATGGGATAGCATGCAGACAACACGTACAGACACATTTATTGATATATAATCATTGCTAACCTGCAAAGTTCGGCAAACAACTCAAAAAGTTTATGAGGCCTGCGAAGTTCGAATGCTATTTGGATAGCTTTATTATAGTTGGCATCTAACACAGCATTTTCCAATTCTTGACATCTTAATACCCCTTCCTCCTGCACATATCCAATGAGTATTATTACTAAACTATAAAAAACAATCCAAGTGATACGCCATCATTCAGCAAACATCCAACACAGTTACTACATTAGGCATTGTATAACCAAGAAAACAAAAGTCTATAACTTGTAAGGTTTCACAATTCATTCTAGTTTGCTAAGTGCAAACAAAAATAGCACACCATCGGAGTTGGACATGCTTACCTCTTTGCGGAAAGCTTCCTCTTTATCTGAAGCAGTTGAATCATACCACAGATTAACGACAGCATCACCACCACCAGTTGCAAACATTTCACTCTTTTTTCCAATAGCCAAGGCCCAAACCTGCAACTCAAAATCTTATATTAGCAAAAGATGAGCCCAACGATTAATGGATGACTACAAAGCTTCTCAACCACATGAGCCGCCTGAACCAGAAAACAGAATTTTACCATTTATCCAAAAGAATTTAAAAGGTACATTTACAGAGGTATAGTTTTGTAAAGAGACAACAAAAAATTTTGGGCTTTCTTTGTCAAATTTTGATTCCTATACTCTAATTTTTTCTATATGACTTCATGTATGTTTAAAAATCATTCAATCAAGTACATTTATTACGAAAATAACCATGATGTGGCAATGGCATAAAAACTCATGAGAAAGAGATCCAACCATGGAATATCCGAATTAGCAAAATCGCCTCACCAGCCCCTAATGGGATTTTGGGATGAACACGGATTGTCAAGAAACAAGTATGGAATTAGCTTTTCCCCATTCACCCATCTAACTCAGCCCACACCAATACTATTTTGTGTTAGTTTCAATTATCCAAAAGGATCATTCATAAGTGAAGGATATCAAATCCATAAGGAACCTGAATAATTATTTCTTTAATAACTCCCCAAGGATCATCAGAATATAAGCATTATGTTCAGATGCATACTCTATCCTAAAGTACCCATGCTAAACTCTATGAGTACAAAGTCACAACTCACAAGAGTACCCTCTTCATTCCCTGTCTTCCCTTGCCATTTCTTTTGAAAGCGGTCAACACAGGATGCCTCATTGCAAACCTGACCTTTCATGAATTCTAGTACAATGGTAAAACCTGACCTTCCATATCAATGATCATTTAGCACTCCTACGTGGTGAGAATAAATGAAATCTAGTTTTAATACAATAACTGTTATCCTTTGCGATCCAACAAATTGAGCATCATCCGTGCAGCACATGCATACAAGAAAGTACATACTGTGCAGTTTTCCAACTTCCTGCCCACTTGCATGTAGATGATCAATACAAGAACGTTTCTACAGTTGTGCTGTTGTAAGAATCTAGAAAATTCTACAATATAATATTTCAGTTGCTTTACACATCAATATCCGGAATGATAAATGTAGCCCAAGAGAAATTTAGTTGGAGACAACAGGTTAAAAAAAAAAAAAAAATTCATCACCTTGTCCTCATGTTGATCATATGTAGCCATGCATTCATTTGTTTTGACCGTCCATAGCTTTACCAAACCATCAGCGCCTAAAAATATTTATTCAAGCTGATTTAAAATAAGATCACAAAAGTTCGAAAGAAAAATTAAAGCAGCATAAACCTCATTACCGCACGAAACAAATTGAGTGCCACGAGTAATAAATGATGCTCTTAACACACTTGATGTGTGCCCTTCAAATGTTTTCAAGCATGACCCATCAGCTATAGCCCATATCCTTATTGTTTTATCACCAGATGCTGTTATGACACATTGATCAACTGGTGAAAACTCTACTGACCATATTCCTCTTTTATGCCCTTTAAGTACAACTACAGATACCAGATCCGGCAACCTCCACACACAAGCTGTCCGGTCCTGAACCAAAAATCACAATTCATCAATTAACAACAAATAAGTAATTGAAACTACCTAGAGAAGGAATCGTTTGTAGGTTACTAACCTGGGAACCGCTACAAACTAAACTATCATTTGGTGCAATAGCCAGAGAATTTATATCCTTGTCATGGGCTGCCACCACAGCTTTTGATTTCAAATTTATAGGCTGGTCGGCATCATCTGAGATACCATCAAAACTCCACACCTTGATGGTACGATCACTAACCAAAGGGCAAAGCATGGAGTTGTTGCAACATTGAGTGAGAAACAGAAAATATCCAATTCTATAATGATATTATTTCACACCACAACAACAACAAAAGGAACACAAAAGCATATGGAATTATTGCCACATTGAATGATTTATGAGTTAAGCTAAATATAAGCATGAGTGTTCTCAGAAAGAAAAATCTTAGATTGGTTTAAATCAGACAGACAGGGTAACACAACATTAAGATGGAGAAGATTAAGGAACAGAAAAAGAAACATGACAAATATGCCAACATTGAGAACCAAACCAACTCCTATGTGCACTAGTCTTAGGAAAGAAAACAGGCCAGTATCCATTTGAAGTCCCAATAATGGTGACCTATGGAGACAGCCCTAACCTTCAGCATTTTCACATGAACTGGGTGCTCCTTTGCTGTTGTGGACTTGTGGTTGAGGCTCAAGACCTCTACCATTACGCTAGAATGATTTCTCCGAGAGAAAGATACATATCAAATAGGCAACATGACTTCTCAACACTAACAGTTTCTCATTCTCCCATATTGCCGCCACAGAGTGGTTTGTGCAACTGGAACATCATCATGTGGAATCCAAATGCTGAATAGATAGAATTGCCTGGGAAAGAGCTCACCTACTACCACTAACAAAGAAATTCTTCCACTTCTTTGAAAAAGCAACAGCTCCAACACCTCCCATGTGACCTGTGCCAACACCAATGCAATTTTTGCTCTCTGAATTCCATAACCTTACCTATTCAAAGAACAAAATCAAATATTTAGCCTAACTTCAAATGAAAATAGAGATTAAACAAATAATTAACTAGCATGTTATTGTTAAGATTAAAAAAGAAAAAGAAAAGGAGATGATTTTATTAACTATTTTAATGCATCACAGCAAAGGGAAAATTACAAACAAGCCATCTGCCACAGCATTTTGTAGAAGGGCAAGGGACTTACACTGTTGTCCTTACTTCCTGTTACAAGAAATGGCCTTCCAGAGCTTGATACACAGGTGTCGAGGCATAAAACAATTTCAGTATGACCTGCCAATACATAGGAACATGACATAGTTTCCAAGTCGTACACTTGAACCTGCATTGTGCAAATTGAGACACGTATTAGGAACCAACATTTCAAATAGAATTTTGAATTGCAGACAAACCCAAGCACTCTAATTTAACCATGATCAGTATGCATCGACTATCAAATACCCAGAAGATTCATAGACATGGGAATATAAAAAAAGAAAGGCGTAGGCCAAATAAATATAGAAGAGACGCTTATCAGATTAACATATCAAGAAACATCTATTTCTTCTTGTCAATAACTAATCCAGTGATTATCCTAACTATTTAGCATCTACATACAGTAGATGCTAACTACCAATATAAAACCCAAACCATATTCCCAGGTATACTACATCAATTGCTTGCCTCCAGATATCGGCACATTAAATGATCAAGGTAACAGAAATTACCTAGCAACTTACCTGTTCAAGATTTGTAGCAACAGCAAGAAACTTTTCCTCCTCACCCAGAAACCTCATGTCAAGAATCTCTTCATTATACCCAACAAGCCTCTTGCTAAGAGTTAATTTGAATTTATCTTCAGGGTGTCCAACGAGTGAGTAGAATAGAAACTGATGATCAACGGTCACACAAAGTAACCCTTGATCCAAGGGAAGGATAACAGCAGCGGTGAAGCCTCTCAGGGAATCATCTGTGTCAGAGGAGACCGTAACATCTGAGGACTTTTGCTCATACAAGCTAACTGCACTGTCAAAACAAACAAATAATAAGAATGAACTAATATGGTACACTTCAAACTCAAAAGCACAATTAAAGAGAAAATATGCAAGCCAGCCCCCAAAGCATCCATTAAAAGAGATTTCACATAAATTAATTAAAAAGCATCTGTTTATTTTACCGTTCAGAATCCCATATTCGTACAATCCCACGTTCGCCAACTGTGATAAAATAAAGTGATGATGACCTGTCTCTCCTCTTCCCACTTTGTTGATTGCATGAACCCAGAAATGAAGCTAACTCAGTCCCAGATTTAACTACACACAAACCTTCCAGCACTTCATAAGTTGGTACAGTCATCTTGCACACATAGTCATGAAGATCCCACAAGTTTACAACCTAAAATCACAGACACATTGGCTTCTGGTTAAAAGCGTGCATATACCAATAATGCCATTTGCAGGTAGGGGCCACTGCAACATACTAAGTAAACCTAATTCAACATTATGCAAACTAGAGCACATTCAACACTTACAAAGTAATTTTTTCATATTTCGTATGGCATCATCAAGATTAGCTGAGTTTTACCTTATCTCTTCCAGCGGTAAGCAATGTCCATCCATCTTCAGACACTGCCATAGAGGTCAGTGCGGAGAAATGCCTTTCTAATGTTGCAACACACTTCTTTGTTAGAAGATCCCAAATTCGTACAGTTGTATCAGCACTTCCAGAGAAAAGCTATAAGAAAACAGCCAAAAAGATCAGCTATAAGACAAGTCAAAAATAGACTCAATAAGTAAATGCACATGAGTATGCGAAAATCATGTGTTCTTCATAAAGATTAAATCATCCAGCAATATAAAACATCTTGAGCTCTAACTATATATAAAAAAAACTTATACAGTCTATTTTAGTTACAGAATGTCACCATACATGCAGAGAAGGCACATTCATATTGTGGCCATCCAGCAAATCAGATTCAAGATCCACTGAAACACTTACTGCCCAACCAATTTTATAAACAATATTTCATAACAAGGCCCAGACAAATCTTAAGGAGAACCTGAAAGGAAGTTCAACGAAAATTAGGGTGGAATAACATCACTCTACTCAGAAGCCAACTAATTAGGTTTCACACTTGTATATTAATAATTGGTCAAAAGATGTAGGCATTCATAAAGATTTCAAGCAAGGAATTGTTACATCCCAATCTTTTCTCTGTACTCTTTGCTCTGTTTTTTTTTCCTCAATGACAATATCCCTAAAATTAGCAGTGTCGTGACACAATAACCTGGTTTGCATTGCTCAATATAGCTTAAACTCTCTACTCTTTCATAGGGTTTTGTAGAGAATTTTTCAATAGCAAAATTAGCTCTTTCAGTGATCCTTCTCTCTTCAGGATAATTTTTGGTAAATTGCCACTCTTTCAGTCCTCCTTCTCGACCAAACTATTGCAAACACATTTAAACTGTCTCGTGTTGGTTCTCTACATTCCCCAAATCCGATTTTAAGTGAAAAATTATTCTTTTCAGTGATGCATAGTTTTGGCAGCGGTTGAACTTAAATACAAATTCTAGTCTTTAATTTCCTCCTTATCTTTCATTCATATCTTGTCCAATTATCATAAAATCAACATTAGGTTTAGGACAAGTGGAAGAGTTTATATCCGAAACAAATCACACAACAAATCACACAAGAAATAAAAAAATTAACTGGGTAAGAAGTGATCATAATTTGCAGGTAAGTTACCAGAGTTCTATTGGTGTCAGGATGGAACATAATACTAGTCACAACATCCTTATGCCCTTTAAAGTAATGAGTACAGAAGCCACCATCGACATCCCAAACAAGCACTTTCCTATCAGCTCCCGCGGTTGCGAGCAATCCTCCAGAAGCATGGCAAGCCATGGTCATCACAGGACCATCATGGCCCTGCCCATTTGCAAGAACACATCAACCAAGCAAAACAAGCCAGTAAAATCATCTCTCATTTTTCAATGCAAACTCAATTCCTAAATCAAACCCACTTCGATTAAAATACCAATACTAAAGGCGAGTCAAAATTAAACATACCTTCCAAGAGCGGACGCATTTGAAAGTGGACAAGTCCCAGACCCTTATAAGCCTGCTATGGCCAGCAGAAAAAAGAAATTTATCATCGGGGCTAAGAGCTAAGGCGGTGACACCAGCATCTGCATCAACCTCTATGTTGGCTTTTATTGATGCGTTGGAAGAATCCACAATCTTGATTGCGTCACCATTTGCGCAAGCAATGAAGGAGCCGTCAGATGAAACTGAAAAAGGGCCCCCGGTGTAGAATTGCTGCAGCGACGGGACGCACCTGTAGTTTTTCTTTATTTCTAAGGACGACATGAGGAGCAGAGTTAGCTTTATATGGGTGTTCAAATAATGGAGCAGAAATTTTTGGTGAAAGGGAGGAAGGAGGAGGAGGAGGAAGACGGTAGGTTTTGTTTGTAATTGTGAGAGCAAGCCAGGGAGAAAGGTGTTGTTAGGGCTTACGGACGTGGGGTTTATTCAGGAGTAAATTATACATTAGTCCCTCTTGTTTACAAAAATAAATTAATCAGTCCCCTTTCTTTAAAAATAATAACTTAATCTCTTCTATTTTAATTTCGTCTCATAGATCTCAATCGAGCATTAATTGTTGCTAGCAGTTACATCTCGCCCACGAAAAGTGGAGATCCATTCCTTCAAGGATACTTTTTCAAGTTGTCCTTTGAGTTTCAAGCTCATTTGCCGACGTATGGTTGTCAATGATATCATCAAACTTCTTTATTGCACAATAAGGTCCATATCAGACAAGCCTGAAGAGACAATTTAGTTCTGAAGCTCTTATTGATGAATTGTAAGGGAGTTGCACGGACTCCTTCAAGTTCAAGGTTCTTTTTTCGATGTTTGCTTGCGACAAAATGTTTAATCAGGGATTATTTCTACTTGACATCAGTGGTTTAAAACAAAAATCATCATAATTTTATAAGGATAGTATTTTCTTAGAAGAATACAAAAAATAATATTTTATTTTAATAGTTATTATATCATTTAATATTTTCACTTTTCAAATTTACTCTTAAACATTTTCTATTTTTAGAAACGATGTCCGTCATCATGATGTCATTAAGCATTTTCCTTAATTAGGTGTCTTTTTCGCTCATAATCCATGATCATTTGAACTTCTCTATTGCTTACCTCTATAAAATAAAACACAAGATAATAGTTCTTTTTATTAGAGATAGGATAATTGCATTATAAATACATTAATTTTTATAAAAAAAATTCAATTGAGTACGTGAATTTTTATTTTTTTTGTTTAAATTCATTAGTTTTTTTTTTTAAATTATCAATTAATTACTTACATCAATTTTTAAAATTATCAAATTTTAAAATGATAGAATAATTTTAAAAAAAAAATTGCTGCAACAAAAAGATGACAAATTTGTAATTTGATATTATGAGAGTAACATACACTTCATCCATTAATTGAAAAATCAACGAAAATACTTACTTGATAGTTGAAAAAATTAGTATGCTCAAATAAAAAAAATTAAAATTTATGTATTCAATTAAAAAAACAAAAAACAAAATTATTACTTGGTATTGTGTGAGCAATGAACATGTTATCACTTAATGAAAAAAATTAACAAAAGTAGAATAATTTTAAAAAAGTTAATACACTAAAAAAAATTACAATTTATATGCTTAATTGAAAAAAAAAAACTTATAATGAATTTATCCCATCTGAGATTTATCATGATGGTCTCTAAGTTGTGCTTCTCCTAGAACCCTAAGGAGCCTTGACCTAATAAACGGCCGTCTCATGGCCACTAGCATTCCGCGTAAGACTACGAGCTTAGTAAATTAAGCTTTTCAGCAATTTTCACGAGCAACATCACCACACCAAGAATTTGCATATCCACATTATTAAGAAGACTGCATATTATCATGCATGCTCTGTAACTTCTTCAGTCTGTTTGTGCTCATCCCTCCTGAAGGGCATGATTAATTAGATTCTTATGTCTATTAATTGTGGCATTTACTTCTTCGGCATAAGATTGACACGTACGTAGCTAGTATCATTCCTAGGTCTACTAGGCTAGGAGTTACCATATCCCATGAAAACACGAACACATTGCTCGACTTCACCTAGAACATCGAGGCTAGTCCTAATAGTGGTTGATCACCTCCGAAAGTCAAACCTTCGTGGTTTGAATGAGGTCGAAAATGCCAGTCTCGATCCATATATCTTCATTAATATAATTGACTGTTTTAAGCAAGCCATGCATGACTGAATTGATCCTTTGCCTGTCCAGAAATCTACATTAATATCATTCTAAGTTAGTCATCATTAAGTGATTGGTCTCTTTGGCATATGGGAAATAATAAGGTTTAATTGCATGAATCAAGGGCAACGCGTTGGTGAGAACCGAGTACGTACTATCCCTCCTGACTTCAGTGAAGATATCAAAACAAGTACTGGGTTTGAGTGCATGCGTTGATTCCTTCAAGTTGTTGTTTCAGAGTTCCCTTTTGTTGAGCAAAAGAAATGGCAGAATATCTAATGTAAAATCATACGTATGTGGATTTAATTGTTTAGGGTTCATTTGGATCTCCTTGATTTTCACAGCCAATATACACTTTATGGTTTATATCTCAGCTTTTGTGGTTGAATTGATGCTATATTGTGTTACGTTTTGTTTGGACATGCATCGTTTATCCAAAAATAATTTATGACTACATAGTTTCAACTTATTCTCTTCGCAAATTTAATTTATTTGAAATTAAAATTTTAAAATCTTTAAACTTTTAATTTTTTAAAATTTCGTTATTCATTTAGTTTTCTATCATTTATTTCAAAAAATAGCAATCGCATAAATAATTTCATTATATATCTTTTTTTAGAAAATAGGTGGAACTTTTTGAAGTGTTTGTATAAAATATTATATGAAAATATCAAAAATTAATTCTTTTTAAAAAGGGAGTGATATTTAAAAATCATTAAATAGATTAAAAGTTCAGATATTTAAAAAAATCAAATTTGAAATTTAAGAATTCAATTTCAAATGAGTTAAAATTCAGAAAAGATTTACTCATTGAGCCTTAATTTATTAATTCATACTTATTTAAACTTATTAGTTCCAAATTTATGAAAAAAAAAATCCCCAATTCAACTTAATTGATGGCAAGATAGTTGCGTCCTGGTGAAATTAAGTTTTAAATATTTAAAAAGTGTTCCGTTATTCTAATAACAATATATAAAACGTACTGTTGTTATGAAACAGTGATAAAACTTTTTGTCATGTCCCGTTATCATACAAACCTACGTATCTAGATAGGTTGGAATCTCATGATGAGCTTAATTATATTTGGAATGGTAGGTAGGTTAGTTGTTTATTAAAGGACAAAAAAGCACCTACTATATATTTATCATGATCGATCAAGGATCCTCTCTTTTCATGATACAACACTACTTGTTAAAAAACTTAAACTCTTAGAATCGTGTACAAGTTAAACATAATTTAGAATTGACATAAAAAAAGAATCCATGATACAACACTACTTGTTAAATAATAATAATAATAATAATAATAATAATAATAATAATGTTTCTTCTATATTTTCTCTTTTGACTTTTCACGAGTTTAATAAAGTTATTCATTTGTTATACAATATTAGTATTTTCATTCGGGCTTTTTTAAAACATCTTTTATTTATTTTTTAATTATCAAATTTAATCGTATAGTACATGGAATCAATATTAATTTAAAAAGAAAGTCTATGCAAAACTAAGGTGATAAATAAATAAAATTATTAAATTAATTAATGATCAAATTTAAACAATTATAAAAAAATAACATATTAATGAAAATAATTACTCTTAAAATTTTGACATTACATAAAGTCCTTATAAGATTTTAGGCTAAAAGTTAAAAGGCAACAAAATAAAATTTCCATTATTAAGTAAAATTTCATAATATAATTTATATGTATAAATTTTTTAGTTTTTTTAAATATTCACATCTCATATTGGAGATAAGACTAATTATATTCGATCGGGACAAAAACGATAACCTTTCTCAATAAACGAGATTTTAAAATTCAAATTTTGTATATTTATGAAAAATTTGTCCGAAAACCAATTGATCTATCATTAGATCGACAAATTATATGATTCTTTGATATTGTTCAACCCTAATTCAAAAAAGTACTATAGGAGGGAAGGAGACTGTTAGGTTTGCAAGTTGGAATATTGCTTTAATTTTGCAACAAAAGTAATTGGTCTTACCTAATAAGTAACAAATAGCCTTGACTTATTATCAAACGGCAATTATAACTAGTTAACTATCTATTAGTTGCTTAACAAATGGAATATTTTATGTTCACTTTTTTCTTTCCTTCTTTTTTCAAATTAAACACGGGTCCCTAGCAAAGTCTAAATGAGAGAGAGAGAGAGATAACCTAAAACAAAGTAGAAATATGGATCTAGGCGTTATGTCTTTGGCTTTGGGACCGTCCACGTTATATAGGCCTTTGACATGGAGTTTTACATACCTTACCAAAGGTCACACCTCCCAATTGAAACTGTGGGGTTTCCTTTCTTTATAGGTCTATTTCGTATTCTCCACTCTTTTCAACTAACTTATCACTCTCGTGACTAATGGATCTCATGTAAAACTAACAATATTTTCAAAGAATATCTCAATCTAAACAAATTTTATCAAAAAAATTTTAAACATAATTTTATATTAATTAAAAAATAGAATAACAAAATTCGAATTCATGATTGTTTGATTAGCAAAACCTTAATATCATATCAAAAAATAATTTTAATGATAATTTTATATTATTTTTTAACAAATTTAACGTATATACTATCATCATGTGATGGTAAGGTGGTGTCATTGAGCAAGTGAAAAAAACATGAGCAAATAAGTCATACATTTTTTCAACATCGTAAATTCATACCTGAAGAAGCTGCTAACAAATTAACAATTCAATATACAATATTAAAATCGATCCAAAATACTATCTACAACCAATATTATGTAAGGAGTAAAAAAATGAAAAGGGGTGAACGTACAAGATCAATTATGCCGTGGTGTTCTTTCTTTACCAAATGACAACATATGTATATGTATATATGCTGGCTAGTTTTTAAGTAGAAACTAAAGTACATTAAAAAGTACAGACTGATTATAATTTACTGTGCACAATGCCCGTCTTCCGTGAGTACACACAAAGCACATATATATCTGCTAGTTTGACCATGGCTGGGATGATGCTTGACTGCAAAAAGATACATCCATGAACATTCAATAGAAGTTTAATATTGCCCAACCAAATTTTTTTCACGCAAGCAGTTTGATTCAATAAAAGGACCGGGCAGAACTTAATTAACTATGAACTGTGACAAGGATGTTTACTTACTCAATTATATCTCTCCAATAAGTGTCATTTGACTCATCATCCATGTTAAGATCGCCCCATGCTTCAAAGGTGGTTGGAGTGGAACAACAAGGGTTAGAAATAATATCATTTGGATTAACTTTGTTTGGTGATGAACAATCAGGCGAGGCTGAAACCAACTGGGGTAGTGTGTTTGAAGTTGGAAGAGCATATGAAGAAACTAATTGGTCATTATTGGTGCATGATTTTGAGTCCTTCATTTGATTGTAATAGTAATCGAATTGTGGCTGAGGAGCTTCTAACTTAGGAAAGTTGGACTGAAACTGATCAGTGATCCCTTGTGAAGAAAAACCAGCTTGGCTGCCAGTTAGTAGTCCCTCTAATTGAGAGTTCATTCTGAGGTATTCGTACTCAACAAGGTTGAAAGGTGCTTCCATGTTTGGAGGTGGAGTGCTAGTGTTTAGGACTTGCAGTATGTTATGCAAAACTTGGAGTTTGGTGGCGTCTAGCTGTGCCCTGACTGTACTATCGCAAGGTATATTCATCAGATTGCTCAAGTTAGCAGCAGCAAGCAACTGTGGTAGGTTTGCAAGTATACTGAGGTCAGTTCTTGGCCTGTGGGTGACAGGATCAATTCCCATTTGGAGAAGCTTTTTCTTTAAATGAGTGTTCCAAAAGTTCTTGATTTCGTTATCGGTTCTCCCCGGAAGATGTTGTGCTATTGCTGACCACCTGCAATCACAACAATAATTTCCATTTACAAGCTTTTAGGTTTAACTTAGAACTCCAGGTTACAATTGTGTATGCATGTGCATGAAAAGGCATAATATTTGCGGAAGAGAAATTTACTTATTTCCAAGAACTTGATGGAAGTTGATGATAATTTGTTCTTCCTCTTCAGAAAACTTTCCTCTTTTGATATCAGGTCTCAGATAATTAGTCCACCTTAGCCTACAACTCTTTCCACACCTGTTCAACCCAGCAAGCTTTGGCAGTGCTCTCCAACTCCCATGGCCATGTTTGTGAATGTAATCAATGAGCCTCTCATCTTCTTCTGGTGTCCACGGCCCTTTCTTTAGGCCACTTTCATCTTGAACCGGTGATTTCCCCATCATTCCTGGAAAAGAAGAAACCACATTAAGTTGGTCGCTTGTTTGTTTTATTTAATTTTCATAACTCAGCAAAGTTTTTAGTAATTGTTTAATTACTTGATAAAAGATAACTAATCTGGAAAAGAAGAAAGTGAAGGAAGACAAACTTTAAAGCAGAATCACTAGCGATTCTAGCAGCTGGAGGAGAAAGGTATATATGAATATTGATGGAAGAAATTGAGGGAAAATGCCTCTCTCTCTCGCTCTATATAGAGTGTGGATCATGTCTAGAAATAGACCAGCTTAACTAATTAGAGTAACACAGAAGCCAAACTTTATAAATTTTCTTCATGATGATCCAAGTCACATTTAATTTTGACATGTTTAATTTATTATGCTGTAATAATATATATATATATATATATATATACAGAAAAATGTGAAAATGAAGTGTTTTAACCAAAAGCTTACTTGGTTGACCTAAAGTACACCAGACTTCAACTACTAATATACATGCATCCTCCGACACATTTTATTTTATTGCAGCTGTTTTAATTTCTTCTTCAGAGGAGTTTGAGGGCTCAGAAATTATGTAGTTTTTCAGCACACATAATGTTATTTCACTTTTTTATTTTTTGGCTCCCCATGCTAATAATTATAATTATTAACAGTGGTGAAATATTTGGGTGCAACCACATTCGCTTTTCCCATTATTTTCTTTAATTCTTTTGTCATTTGCTGCAAATTAAGTTGTAAGCTATAGCTGCTCTTTAATTAAATTAACAGTCATTGAATAACAACGGCTCTCGTAGGTTTAGATTTACTCTAAAAGCAATTATATATATATATATATATATATATACATAGAGAGAGAGGGAGTCAATAGCTAAATCTGTTTTTATTTAATAATTCAACTCTCTAATTTGTCTCTATTTTTTTTTAATTACTTCTATTATATTCTTGAATAATGTTTGATTTTCTAATCTATCATTCCGATCAATTTTTTCGACTATAAACAATAACCGATGCTTTCTCGGCAGGTTTAGATTTAATCTAAAAGCAATAATATAGATATATATATCTTAATATTTTTTTATATATATACTAGCCTAAGTTTACAATCTATTCCTATGTTTCTAATTACATCTATTTTGTTATTAAATAATTAATGTTTAATTCTCTATTTTATCATTCCGATCAATTGTTTTTACTATGAATAATTTTTTGATTGAAATTCAAAAATAAATAAATCGAAGACTTTGAAAATAGAAACATGTAGACCATGTGACTTGAGTGTTTTTTTTTTTATTACATTTCAATCGGAGTATTTCGGTAATAAATTATGTATGTTGCTAGTAAAATTGATCGAAATGATCGATTAAAAACTTAAATATCTATTTTTTTTTTTTTTTTGGACCCAATATATCTCAAGTTCAAAGGTCAAAACTAATCTTTTACTATTCCGTTGGACTCACAAGACATGCACAATTATCTAAAGAGTTATATGCATACACAAGGACTCAAATCCTAAATCACTTACCTAAATGAATAAAGTATATTCCGTTCAAACCAATCATTTTAGGTAAAACTTAAATATCATTTATAGACATAATAGATATAATTAAAAATATAGAGATAAATTGACGACTCGGGATGTTATACGAAAATATATTGAACCATTCTCTCTCTCTCTCTCTCTCTCTCTCTCTCTCTCTATATATATATATATATATATATATCATGAAAAAAAATAGATATTTATATTCACTGCACTCCAATTATAGGGGTATTTTATTAACCATCCAAAACGGCATGCCAAAAATTCAACTTAAAATAAGACCTTAATGATTTCACTTTGTTTAACAAGGCAAATAAGAGCTTACAAGTAGGTACGTAGGTTTGCCTGCTTGCTTGCCTCCTTAAGGTTCTGTACCATTTACGAGGAGCAAAGACAAATTAATCAGCAATTAAGTTATACCAATACCAAGGTTAGGTTTTCCACATGGAACTCATCCATAAGGTCAAATTAATAGCTAATTTTCTTGAATCACATGGACAAGAAACCTCTCTTTCCACTAGTAGTGTCCCCTTTCTGATTTACTTAATTTTCCTTTCAAACATCATTCTAAGTATAAATTCACACGCAAAACTATTCGATGTTTGGGTGTGGGACCAAATAAGCCCTAAGATTTAACGACTTGATTTTTATATGCATAGCATTCTCTCTCTCTCTCTCTCTCTCTCTCTCTCTCTCTCTCTCTCTCGTCTATATATATATATATATATATATATATATATATATTTTGGTGTGTTAGAAAACCTATTTCATATGGAATAAATAAAATAACATAAAAATTTTTAAATAAACCACCTATTAAAATATTTAAGTTTTTGGATGAAATTCAATCTTAATTATTAAATTTAATATGCCTCAAAATATCTAACGACTCGGTAAAAATTTTGAAATGCAACCTAGTTGATAGACACTAATTGACAAACCTTAAAAGATAGACCATAAGTGAAGAAGGTGTTAGAAAACTTATTCTACATCAAATAAATAAATTAATATAAAAGATATCGAATGAATCATGTATCAATTCCAATTATTTAACTTAATATGGTGAAATATTATAATGTTTGGATAGATCTTATGAGTAGCTAGCTAGCTCTATATTTGTGTCACGACTCATAAGATATTTGTACACAATACAATAAAATGACAATTGCTTAATGGTTAATTATATATTATCATCAAGTGGCAATATATTACATTTAGGATTTGTTAGAACAATACCACATTAAATAATTAAACACAAGATGAGTAATATATAAAGTTAATTTGAAGGAGTTACTCATTTTGAATATAACTCAATCTCAACTATATAATTTTATATTGTATCGTAGCTTCAAAGAGATTCAACGGCTCGGTAAAGATTTTAGAGCTCAAGTCATATGATAGAACCCACATATCACACATTGAATAGTTGAACCAAAGAAAATTAATATATAAAGCTAAAAAAGGGCCACATACCATAAGATTTAAGTCTTTTAGATAGAATTCAATCTCAATTATATAACTATGTATGATATCAAAATCATAAAAAGGCCCAATGGCTTAGCAAAAATCTTAGAACCCAAGCCATTTGACAGATCTCAAAGGATGGATATCAAATGAGGAGGAGTGTTAAAACACATATCTCATATTAAAAAGATAAATAAAATATGAGTAATATATAAGTTTGGGAAAATGTCACTCATCTAAAGGTTTAAGTCTTTTTTATGAAACTCGGTTTCAACTATGTAACTCAATATCTATAGAAACTCAAGGTTCAAAAGGAAGAATAATAATATTATAATGTAAGAATGTAAAAAAAAAAAAAAAAAAAATTTGAAATTTTTTATTAAAAATGGGAGAAATTTTTCTTTTTTCCCTCATAACTAATGACATTTCCATTTATGAAAAGATGAAAAAAGGTTTAATTATTGTAGAAGTCTTTCTATTCTACATAAGTCCTTCTACTTTATACAAATCCTTTTATTCTATTTTTGTTAACTGCTTCTTTTGAACTAATAATATGTATAGTGTATCCTTTTAAAATATATCTCTATGATAGCAAGTAAATTTTGAATATAAAATAAAATATCTATAGTATTTTTTTTAAAGCATAAAGAGAGTTTTAGTTAAATTTTTAAAATTTTAAATTAATTATATTTCTAATTTTGTAATATCTCACATGAGTTATAATTTATTTATTTTAAATCTCTAATCTATCCTTACATTTTTAATTGCATCTATTATATTTTTGAATAATATTTAAATGTTCAATTTGTCTTCGGATCAAATATTTCAACCATGGTATTTTTCTCAATCAAAATGGCTTTGACTGAAATGCAAAAGAAAAGAAAAAAACACTACTTAAAATCGCATGACCTATATATTTTATTTTTGAAATTTTAATTTTTTTAATTAAGAACATTTCCATAAAAAAAAATATTTATAGATAAATTTTTTTTTTTTTATCAAGAATGACAGATTATTCGGCATTGCTCTATAGTCCCCGGGGTACCAAGTGTTGATGCTCTCATTGCTACTGGTGTCGGGCAGAGTGTTGCTGCCACACCTAACATTATACAGCCTACAACAATTTTGAATGAACAAGGATCCTGTTGGTGAGTCTTCTCTCCTCACCCAGCTAGCTATCAGTCACTAGCTCTTCCCAACTGAAGTTGATGGTGGATTTCTGATGGTATGCTCGGCCAGCAATGCCCACAGTATCTACTAGCTCTTGTACCACGAACTCATTCTAAGACTCTCCGAGTTCACAGCGAAAAGGCATAGGATGAGTCTACATCGGACGCTCCTCCTCCTGCCTCCAAATCGAGGGCTCTGATTGCTACTACTACATATCTGCAGCATTCTGAACCATCTACTTTCACTACTGCTAGTCAAGATCCCTACCGGTGTGTAGTCTTATGCAGGTTGAGTATCAAGAATTAATTCGAAACAATACATTGTCTTCTTCCACATAAAATTCCACATTTAAAAAAAAAAATCTTCCAGCTAACCAAATAGAGTGGCTGAATATATTGGATAAAAAAGAAAACATAATGCTTTCGAACCATGCATCATTTCACATCATGAATATATGAGAAACTCTGAAGTTCACTTCTATGTTTCTATGCATGCTAGGCATGAAGTTTGCACTCACTATCTTGGTGGGTGCAAAAATATGATTGATTATTAGGAGTCTGGACTGCTAAATTGTCGGTTTTTGCTTGGCTGTAATTTTTTAGTGATATTTTAAACAATACTGAACAAGGATTTATCAAGCCATCAGGAAGAAATTGTTTTAAAGTTCAAAAAAAAAAAAGAAGAAGAAGAAAAAAAGAGCCAATTGTGGATTCCTTGTCATACATAGGTCGCAATTGGGTTACAGCACATGATTACATCATGGGGGTCACTAGTCAATGTGGTGGTTAAAGGGTGGTAGAGCTTTGCCGGAGTTTTCCTCCAAACTTTAACTCTTTATCTACATTCACAAGTTACGAATATATATATATATATACACACACACTGCTCATCAAGAGAAACCAAACCAGAGTTACAAACTAAAACTAAAATAATACTAATTATTTTCGTCAAAAAAAAAATTAAAAAAAATACTAGTTTTATATAAGGGGTTGGGAAGTTCATCATAATTTCCTTGAATATATTAATTTGTAAAATTTTTATCTTATATGTTAAACTTGGTTTCCTTGAAGAATTAAGGAGGTTACCTTGGTCTGGTATAGCAATTAATTGCACCGGAAAATAATAGAAAAACACACAAGGTAAGAAATAAAAAATAAACCTCATCATTATAAATCAAGTTATTAAATATTTCAAACAAATCTTGAAATTCAAAACCGTCTGTTATCCTATAAAGACTTAAATTTTCTACTCCACTTCTTCAATCTATTAATTTGCCTAAAAGGACACAATTCGTTAAAATATACAGTTGAATTGAAAACTCTAGACAAAATAGTTTCTATTTAATTCAAAGGGTGTATCAACATCACAAACATTTAGTAGACTCGTCTAAGACGAGAAATTTTATAATACTCAACGAGTAACTAGTGACATGTATAGTAGTTATTCCATAAACTCACTCTATAGTAAGAGATAGACATAATAAATAATAATAATAAAAAAAGAGAAATAGGAGAGAGAAAATTAAAAAAAAAATTGAGCTAATATGAAAATCTTCTTATTACATTTAGTGGATCTAGATGTAATCCTATTTTCTTTTTTTGTGTTTATCTCTCTACTAAAAAATGAATCTATGGAATAACTACCGTATATCCTATTAGTTACTATTTGAGTATTGTAAAATTTCTCGTCTAAAACCACATCATAAAGTTAATAATTTTATAATTTAATTATAGCATCGGTTACCTTCTTTTTGCTTTTTAAAGTATTTTCATCATATAACCAATTATCTCAATTCTCAACTGTGCTTTGAATTAGTTGAGGGTTTAAAAAAGAGGAATAATAATATTACCTTTATTGCATATGTCCATTACTTTAACCTTGCTCTATCAATTCTAGCCTCTATTCATGCATGCATTATTATCTATATATAATTATCTGGAGTTTCTGCCTAGCTATTATGCAAGCGCAAGTAGGACATAATATTTTAGGTAAAATATTTGTTAAAGAAACCATGAAAATTAGTCTTTCCGTGTAGGGGTAAATTATGTGTAGAGTACGTACGTAACTAAGTAGTGGTTCAACAAAGTGAAAAGTTCATGGACAGGACAAATGCATGTAAGTAAAGATAAATACATTTAACCTAAAGAGTTGTGAGATGGTGAACTTTGCTTAATTACTTAGGGTACGTATTGCTTGCGTTAAAAGTAATTCAGTACTTACCATTCCAGAAGTAATTGGCGTCCTTTACATGCGTGCATGGCAAATACAAATGTCCAGCGTTCCTTTTGAATGCCAAACTTTTACTCCGTCTATGCGAACCACATCTTTTTATTTTTACTAGATTAGTCTTTCACGACTCATCAGTTTGCATTAAATTAAGGTAACTCTGCACTTATCATTCCTGAAGTAATTAATTGGCGTCCTTTACATGCATGCATGGGAAATACAAATGTTCAGATATTGACACCAAGTAGAAAAAGGTGATTAATTACTAAACGGAAAAGATAATCACAAGGCAAGTATGGTTTCGTAACGTTATGCTCTGTGTTCAAAAATAGAGATTGAGCAGTACTACTAAAATTAATTTCAGAGATACTCCATATATAGAGCTAGCTAGGTAATATGATCCAGGGTAGGTACGTACGTAGGCCTTATTTAGGCATACTAACATGTCTTATTCTATTGCTCGATCCCTAGCCATCACTGTTTTTAAATGAAGTCAATTTGGCCTAAGATGATGTACAAACACGAAATTATGAGTGTTTCAAAGGTTTGGATATAATCTATTTGCCGTTGCTTCATACTATTCCATTATTGGCAAATTAACTTGAATTTTGGAAGGAGTGGTGCTTCTTCGATCTCCTTTAATTTGTGCATGGTATCTTGGTTCCAAGGTCAATTTTTGCTAGCTGCTCGCTTGATGGCTGCATTGATTTTGCAATCCATCGAAGACTCAATGCTCTTCCTAATCTCTCTTTCATCATTGGAGTCATTATCCCCAGTATCCTCAATTATCCATTCAGGCTCAAACGTCTCACCTTGATCAACTTGTGTTCGGGTGCAACACCCGACACGTGATAGGCTACGACATGATCGGTTATCAAGCTTTCGATTTTCATAAAAATTCATCAAAGATATTCAAAGATTCAAAATTTTTATTTTTATATGATTTTTCCCATTTTTCGAAATTTTAGCCTTTTAATGAGCTTTTGTGATTTTATTTATTTTCATGAGATTTGATTTTTTATTTTTAATAAAAAGCAGAGTATAATAAAAACAAGTGTCATGAAAAACATCAACGTGTCAAAAAGAGAATTCAAAAATTATGAAATGAAAAATAAGAACATACAAAAATTTATATATATATATATTATGTGTGAGCGAGATATCATATTTTTTATTATTCTTTATCCAAACTTGTCTAATCCTACTTAAAGGCTAATCCAAACACTTTGCCAACACAAAAATTCCTTCCATAAGGACATAAAGCTATCCTCACAAAAATTCTTTCTACAAGAACATAAACCTATTCTAAAAAGATGTCTAAATACACATCTCATAAGAAATAAGAATGAAACGCATGTTTTTAAGGACGATACAAATTTACCTAGATACATACCCCACCTGTACATATAAAAAAAAAAAAAGGAGAGAGAAGGGGAGGACTCGACAAAAAGAGAAAAAAGAAAAGAAAAGAAAAGAAAAGGATATATATATCTCCCTTTTCTATTTATCTCCTCCACCTCCACCCTTGGTCGGACCAACACTGGCCGGAGTAGCAGCAACAGCCACTCCAGCAGCTTTTCCCCACCACACGCTGACCAATAGCAGCAATTGACAACAGGAGGGACAGCAACAAAACGCAGAAGAAGAAAACCCCTCCGTTGCGACTTCCGAACCACGATCTACCTCCAGTGAGCGGGGGTGACTTACATCACCCCATCAACGCTGAACATGGGTCGAGTGCTTTTCACTCGACAACAGCTTCCTCTATAGGTTTTCTTTCGAGTATTTTGATCCTTAAAGGTTTGGATACACCAAATGATGGAGACCCTTGGGGGGTGGGGGTTGCCGGTTTGATGTCTAGTTTCTTATCTATTAAAAAAAAATCTATAAAAAAAAGTACAAATTTTCCAAAATAGAAAACAAGGACCTTATTTGACTTAAGTTAAAAATAATAAAACAAATTGACATAAAACATTAAATGAAACAAAGAAAATTGACACAAAACATTAGATGAAACAAAGAAAGCCATCTTTTTTTTTGTAGAGAAATTAAAAAATAACCATTTTGATGTTTTCTAGTTTTCCATAGAATTAGAGAACTAGAAATCACAGATTTTTAAGAAAACAATTTTCATTTTCATTTGGTGAACCCATTTTCTTTGGTTATATAGAAAATTTCCCACAAGTAAACACACCACAATTTGAATTGATTAGGCACGGAACCTACAACTTACAAATTATTACCTATTATATAAGTTTGTGTATAGTCTTATTTTAGTAAGATTGCTTGTAAATCATTTTCCATCACTGGATAGATATAGACTAATGAACTCGATTGCAGAACTATTGAAAGTTCACTTACTCAAATAGAACTAAATTATAGAAGAGACTCAACTAAAAAAATTTAAACAGTACATGCACTGAACATGATTTTTGTCATGGAACATGTCACCTCCTAATCAACAGTCATGGCTTCTGAACCCCCACTAGCATCCTCCATCCCACCCTTCTGCTCGTCAGTTGCCATTCTCATCTCCTCAATCAAATTCTTCTCGTCTTCCTCTATAGTGTTCTGTAACTCATCCACCTATCCAGATATTAAACAAAAGTTGAAGAAAATAAACGAGTACACTGGACAATTAAGTGCATTCAAACTAATGCGGCAAGTGATCTAGCAAGTTGCAAAAGAATTTAGAAGCACTCTATAACTTCATTGCATGATAGACCCAAATAGGTCCAGAAACATTTATCAATTAGATAGCCCAGATGCATAAACAACACATTGAAAAGACATCGATTGGCACCTGAAACTGTCCTTACAACCCAAGGTTAAACTGCCAATATAAATTTTCTATCTCCATACAAAACATACCATTGCCAGTAACAAAGTAAATGTGCAGAAGTGCACACATCTGTAATAGTGGAAATGTTGTTAATTAGGCATATTATAATTTTAAAAGCTTCAATTGATAACTTCTCCCAACTGAAATTAAAAAATAAAAATAAAACAATATACTTTCAACTCCTTCCACATCTTTCTTCTTTGATGTTAATTTGCATCATGCTCTTTCATAACAAAACTTCTAAACAATAGCATATGCATATTATTTTAACCCAAAACAACCAGTTTAGAATCCAGGTAAAACCCCAAGCCCAAACCGTAAAGCTAATCACTTTCTATAATTGTTTTTCCTTGCAATACAAATTCAACTTTTATTATTGACATAATAATACCATTAATTGCACTCATGCTTAACAGTAACTAACAGAATTTGACAATTCTGTAATTAACAAGATTTCTGTTTCCGGAGCAAGTCTGAGGTTCGAGTGAAAATATAAATTTTCCTATGGAAAAAGGGAAAATTAAGAATGGGTTCAGGAAGTGAATCGACAGCAAAAACTTGTTATGGATAGGAAGCCAAGATTACAATCTGAGACAGCAGAACCACAGAAGAGTACGTTGCTAGTAAAAAGAATCTTCGAAATAAATGGAGTAGAAAAGAACTGAATTGATCTGAAATAATATGAGCCTCTTAACAAAATTTTCAATCAATACGAAACAAGAATGACATCTATCAAAATTAACTAAGGTTAAATTTACGGAAATTGCCACATACCACATGCAACAAAAGAGCGAATTGTTTCTTCCGAAGCTCCAATAACCTCGAACCAGCCGTATTCTCTGCCTCCAAAGCAGCAATTTCTTTCTCTAAATCCGTTATCACCTTCTGCGTCTGGGACCTCGGGGGCTGCATTGCGATCAATTTCCTTATCGCCTCACATTCCTCCTTATGCTGCCTTTCAATTTTGCTCTCCTCAAGCTGCTTCTTTAAATCTTCAATATCAGCCTGTGCCTGCAAAATCTGCCTATTTATCTCATCCTTCAACTCATTAAAATTCTCCTTCTCTCTTACATTAGCATCAATAACTGCTTTGCTCTTGAGTAACGGAATCTCAAATGTAGACAACTCCTGTAAGAAAGCTCTGGAAAGTTTGGCACAATCATTGTAATTATCCTCATCCTTCTCGACTTCCGAAACAAACGAAGCAAACTTCTTTTGAAGTTTCTTCAACGGGGGTTCGCCCCTTGTAGTAGTAGTACGAGTGAGTAGCCTATGTTTTATAATTACATCATCTTCGAGTGGTCCAAATGCGTAGTTCGCAGCTACTGTTTCCCCTCTTCCAGAAACTTTCCTTCCTTTCAACATCTAATAAAATAAAATTAATAATAGCTTATTACTGTTATTTCAATCCTAAGAATCTTTTTTCTTTTTTTCTACTTTGATAGCTAATTTGGTCTTAATTTATAATGAAGAGAAAATTAAATAGAGTAATTGATCGAATTGAGCTAAAAAGAATTTTGAAGTAGTTTCGAAACTTCACTAAACCCTAACCAGAAATATACGAAAATGAGAATCAAACACAGACAAACCTAATTAGGAAAACGCTGAGAGATGGTGTCGCAACCGTAGGAACACTGATTTTTGCCGGCAGTCAGATATGGCAAGAGTTTTTCGACGAGCTGCAGAGCTGTGTGAGAGAGAGAGGCGAAAGAGAGCGGAGCGTTCGGCGAATCAAAGAACTTTCTTTCCTATGTAAGATAAAAGTATAGACTACTTGTCGTTTCTACCCTTAATTTAATTTATAAAAAACTGCAATTCAAAGTTTTTTTTTCTTTTTCCCTTGTTTGAGTAGTCATTTAGTAAATTTTTTTTATTTAAGTGTTCAAACTTTAATTATTTTTTTTCAGCACTCATGATCAATTGAGATGGAAACTTTTGATTTGTTGGAATAAACTATCACGTGACAAAAAATGGATTCCACCTAGATTAGTTAGAAAAAAATAAAATGAAACTTTTTAGAGAAATTGCAATTTGAATATCTAATCTTTGATTTTTATTTTTTTTGTTTGATTGTTCAATATTTGATTTTTTTTTCTATTTGAATTCCCTCATTTAATAAATTTATTTTTCTTTGTAAATCTCTTTTTTTTTTTTAAGAATTAAGAGTATCTAAAGGTAAAAAATATAGTATTGAATTCGTTAAATTATTTGCGGGGTCTTTAATTTGCTGAAGTTCTCAAAATCGGGTTTTTTCAATTTTTTTCTTGTAAGAAGGAAGCACATGCATAAAACTTTTAGGTGTTGTTTGGTTAACAAAAATAGAATAGAGAAAATAAGAATATAAATTTTATTCCTATCTTATAGTTATTTGATTAAAAAAAATGAAGTGATAATAGGAATGAAAATCATCTATAATTCCATTCCTATTTAAAAAGTGAGAATAAAAATAAAAATGAGAATGAATTTTTTTCAAAATAATAATATATGTTATTTATTTATTGTATATTAATTATTTTTACCACCACTACAACCACAACCATCACCGCCACCACATGCACCACCATCACTTTTAACTCTATTATTTTTACAACCATTATAGTTTAATAAAATTATTTTTTTAATCATTATTTTTATTTAAAAAATTAGATATTAAAAAAATTTAAATTTCATTCTAATTCCTTATTAGTATTCCAAACACGGTATAAGAATGCAAATATCATTCGATTTTCTAATTTTCATTCGATTCCCGTATTTTCATTTCAAATCTTTTGTTTTTGGAAACCAAACGACACCTTAGTTTTTTATTTTTTTATTTTTTTCCTTTTATACAAGAAAAGAGAGAAACCAATTGCATTTGGAGAATCAATCAGCAGATGAGCAAACCATTATCCGAGCATCTCTTATCTTCTTTGCAAAGTATACCATGTCGAATGTTACCGATAATGGTGGCGAGAGGAACTAGACCAAGTCGAAGTGGTGTCCTCTAACCTCGGAATGGCTTAAGATCAAGACGGATGTGGCGTGCTCTAGTCCGGCGCCATGCAAGGAATCTCTCAACTCGTTAGATGTTGCAAGCTAAGGAAGCAACGACAACGAAGCTATGGATTGTTTTTAGCCTCTCAAATGGGGCGCAAGCAAATTATACTCCAAGTGAATCCCAAAACAGATTCCGATTTAGGCCTATCAAGATATATATTAGCTGTAAATATTATTATTATTATTATTATTATTATTATTATTATTATCTTCTAGATATTATGGGTGTTAATGTTATTCCTTAATTTGAGGGACTCTAGTTATGCTTATCTTTATCCCTAGATTAGATAGTTTCCTACTCGACTCTAGGACTCATTGTATATATATTCGATGCATTGTAACCTACGTAAAAGTGAATATATAATTTTTCCTCTCAATTTTCTTCAACATGGTATCAAAGCCTTAGGGTTTCTTTGTTGAAATTCGCCACTTGTACGACCTTCATTGTTGTCGGTTTTCTTCGCTTTTTTTCCACAACCTTAATTGCTGTAATTTTTTCATAGTTCTTTTGTTTCTAAACCTTTTATTCCTTCACTATGTCTACAACCGAAACTTCCATCTCGGAGGAAGTAAATTCCGTCCAAAAACCCGGCGAGTTACAAAACATTAGGGCCTCTTATCGACTCAATGGAAAAAATTATCCGAAGTGGTCTCAATTCATTCGTACATACCTAAAGGATAAAGGAAGACTTAGCCATATCACGAGAAAGGGACCGGAAAAGAAAGACCCGAGCATTTGAAGCATGGGATGAAGAGGATTCAATGATTATGTCATGGCTTTGGGACTCAATGGATCCTACCATTAGTGACACATGCATGTTTCTTGCTTCTGCAAAGGAGATTTGGGAGTTCATCCGACGTACCTACTCAAAAGGTCGTGATGCGACGGAATTTATGAGGTAAAAATCAAAGCTGGGCAACGAAACAAGGAGATAAAGCTGTTACGAGAATATGCTAATATCCTATAGAATTTATGGCGGGAACTTGATCATTATCGCATATTTGAGATGAAGTGTGCGAGAGGATGCCGCAATCTTAAAGAATTTTATTGAGAAAGATTGGGTGTATGATTTTTTGGCTGGTTTGAACTCGAAATTTGACCAAGTAAGAGTCCAAATTATTGGTAAAGAAGAGATGCCATCATTGGAAGAGACAATTTCATTGATTAGAGTCGAGGAAAGCGGAAGAAACATTATGCTCGAAGTCCCAATAATAAAAAGGTCCGCACTAGCAACAAAAAGAGATCAACGGAAGAGAGGGAGGATCGAGAAATATCCTCGGTTGAAGGATAACGAGACAACATGTGGTGTACATATTGTAAGAAATCGAGACATACCAAAGAAAGATGCTGGAAATTAAATGGTAGACCACGAAGTCATGAGTGGGGAAACCGTGAAGGGTAACCAAGGTTCCAGCAAAAATCTCAACATCAAGCTCACTCGACAGAACAAGTCAATGAGGAAGTAAAGATGGATAATGGTGGATTCAATAGTGTGGAGATAGAAAAATTGAAAAAACATGTTAGGTTCCCTTGAAAAACCATCTAGGGCTTGTTCATTGGCTCTTTTAGGTAAGTCTTCATTCTCCACTTGCATGTATGTCTCGGATACAACCTATACTAATTCATGGATAATTGATTCCGGAGCCACGGACCATATGACTCATTCATCACAGTTTTTCCATACTTATAACCGTTGCCCTAGTAATAGAAAGATCATAGTGGCAAATCGATCCTTGGCTATTGTTGCAGGTGTAGGAAACATCATGGTTACACCTACTCTCACTCTTAAAAATGTACTCCATGTGCTAAAATTATCAACCAACCTAGTGTCAATCAAAAAACTTACTCATGATCTTAAATGCTTTGTAATTTTTTTCTCCTTCTTACTGTGTTTTGCGGGATTAGGGCTCGGGGAGGAAGATTGGACTTGCTAAGGAAAGGAATGGCCTCTATCATCTTAATTCTTCTCGGAGTATTATGAATAATTTGTCCGTGTCTTTGTTTAATTCTTTCAATAAAAAGACCATTTGGCTCTATCACCTTCGTCTTGGTTATCCTACGTTTAGAGTCCTTAAATTCATGTTTCCTAACTTGTTCAAAGGATTAGACATTTCGGATTTTCATTGTGAAATTTGTGAGTTGGCAAAACACACTTATATATCTTTTTCTATCAATAATCAAAGAAGTTCTAAACCTTTTCATTTGATCCATAGTGACATATGGGGCCCTTCTCTCGTTTCAAATATCTCCGGTGCTAGATGGTTTGTTACATTGATAGATGATTTTACTCGAGTTACTTGGCTTTATTTACTCAAACAAAAATATGATGTTAGCATTGTTATCCCTATTTTTCTTTCTATGATTCACAATCAATTTGGGGTCAAAATTAAGAATTTTAGGTCGGACAATGCTAAGGACTACTTCAACCACACATTGACTCCGTACTTTCAACAACGGGGAATCATTCATAACTCCTCTTGTGTTGACACAACCCAATAAAACGGGGTGGCTGAACGCAAGAATGGGCACTTACTCAATGTGGCTAAGGCCTTACTTTTTCAGAGAAATGTTTCAAAATCTTATTGGGGGAGACTGTCCTCACAGCCACTATATGATCAATAGATCGCCCTCTCAAGTTTTATCCCATAAAAGTCTCATGGAAGTCCTCAATACCTTTTATCCGAAGTTTTGAATTTCTAATGAACTCATTCCTAGGGTATTTGGTTGCACAACCTTTGTTCACATTCATAGTCATCAAAGAGGAAAGTTAGATCCTCGAGCACACAAGTGTGTTTTCCTTGGTTACTCTTTTACACAAAAAGGCTACGAAGTGCTATAATCCTCTCACTAAAATTTTTTTGTTTCGAGTCGATGTCACTTTCATAGAAAACCAGCCATACTTCGAAAAGTCCTATCTTCGAGGGGAGACTACATCACTACTAGAAGATAATACTTTTGATAGTACTTGGACTCTTGATCTCCCTAATTGTCCAGTAGAGTCGGTTCCATCTTCTATTCTTGGTTCTCCATTAGACTCGTTCCTAATCCAAAACAGAGTCCATCATTAATTTCTAATCCTACAAAATCTAATCCGAATCCAACCTAGGTTCCAAAAATTATATCTTCTCGAGTTGCGGATCGGGTTATTCATAATGATCCGAGATTTTCACGAGTATATACTAGAAGGATCGTTCCAAACCTGCAACAAGTTCAAGAATCCTACCCAAACTTTGAAAAAAACCCAATGGTAAGATCCGATCCAACCCTAAGCACACAATCGGTAGAACCACTCGGTGACCTTCCCATAACTATCGGAAAAGGCGATAGAGAATACACCAAAAGACCTATGTACCCATTATCTCACTATGTGTCACTTAAAAACTCGTCACTAAACCATAGATAATTCATTACCGACCTCAACACCATCCGTATCCCTACCACCGTATCCGAGGCATTGTCAAAAAAGAATGGAGAAATGCCATGAAAGAGGAGATGGTCTGCTCTAGAAAAGAATCAAACATGGGAGATTATGGATAAACCAAAGGGGAAAAACATAGTCGATTGTAAGTAGATTTTTACACCTAAGTATAAGGTTGATGGATCACCCGAGAGGTATAAAGCAAGGTTGGTGGCTAAGGGATATACTTAGACTTATGGGGTAGACTATCATAAGACATTTACACATGTGGCAAAGATGAACACTGTTTAGGATTCTGCTATCCCTAGCGAGCACATTTTGATTGGTAGTTGTTACAATACGATGTGAAGAATATATTTCTTCATGGAGACCTAGATGAAGAAATTTACATGGATGTTCCTCCGGGATTTGAAGAAGAAACAAGGAATAAAGTTTGCGGAGTTGAAGAAGGACCTTTATGGACTAAAACAATCACCAAGAACATGGTTTGGAAGGTTTACTAAAGTTATGACAAGCTTTTGGATACTAACAGAGTCAAGGTGATCGTACCCTTTTTATAAAGCACTCATCAACGAGGGTAGTGACAACATTTTTAGTATATGTAAATGACATCATCGTCACCGGGAATGATGAAAAGGAAAAACTATAACCGAAACAATGACTCGGTCAAGGAATTCGAGATAAAGGAGCTTGGGAAATTAAAGTACTTCTTAGGTATTGAGGTGGCATACTCCGAAAGGGGATTTTCATATCCCAACAAAAATATGTGGTTGATTTATTAAAGGAGATAGGAAAAATTAGATGTAAGCCAATATCTACACCCATTGAAGCTAATCAAAAACTCGAAAAATCCAAAGAAGAACCTCCGATGGATAGAAAAATGTATCGGAGGCTAGTAGGGAGGCTCATCTACCTTACACATACTCGACCGGACATAGCATACTCGTAAGTGTGATCGATCGGTTTATGCATGATCCAAGGGAGTCACATTTACAAGCCGCTTATAGAGTGTTATAGTATTTGAAAGGCAATCCAGGAAAAGGAATCCCGTTCAAAAGACAAAGGGATCTTGCCTTTGAAGTCTACACTCGATGCAGATTATGAAGGATATATAATGGATAAAAGATCAACTACCGAGTATTGTATGTTCCTTGGAGGTAATCTTATAACATGGAGGAGTAAAAAACGGAATGTTGTGGCTACATCATCTGCTGAATCGAATTCAAAGTAATTGCTCAAGGTTTGTGTGAGATGTTTTGGCTGAAGATAATCCAAGACAACTTGAGAATCAAGTGGGAAAGTCCTATGAAACTCTACTATAATAACAAATCTGCTATCAACATTGCTCATAACCCTATACAACATGATAGGACTAAGCATATTGAGATTGATAGGCATTTTATCAAAGAAAAGCCGGAGGAGGGATTAGTATGCTTATCTTATGTTCCTACGAGATACCAACTTGCGGATGTTCTTACCAAAGGGTTGAACGGCTTCAATTTTCATGATAATATTTCCAAGCTAGGAATGGAAGATATCTATTCTTCGACTTGAAGGGAGTGTCAAGATATATATTAGTCTGTAAATATTATTATTATTATTATTATCTTCTAGATAGTAAGAGTGTTAATGTTATCCTTTAATTTGAAGGACTCTAGTTATGCTTATCTTTATCCCTAGATTAGGTAATTTCCTACTCGGACTCTAGAACTTATTGTATATATATTCGATGCATTGTAACCTACGTAAGAGTGAATATATAATTTTTCCTCTCAATTTTCTTCAACAAGGTCTCGTTAGTCGACGATATTTTACAACTAGGGACTATAGGTCATAGGTGCTACTCGATTCCTATAGAGAGTATTTGGATTGAGGATTGTCTAGACGAAATTTTTTCTTATGTTTCGTCAAATGTTCCATCTCATATTTCTTAATGAAATTTGATTTGGATTCTTCACAAAAAGAAAAAAAAATGGTGATCTTTGTTAGAATAAATATATATACATACACACCAATTAACAGAGCAATTGAACCATAGATTGAACATTGCATTTGGTTTTTCTACAAAGTATGAATTGTGAAAAGCTAGACAATTAAATTTCACCTCTCCCTTTAATTAGTAGAACATTGCATCCTAAAGTAAGGTCCAGCATGATTTTGTTTTAGGGTTCCAAACAGCAGGGATCAAAAATTTCCTACCCCTTGATCCATGGCCATTGAAGCCTCCACCCGTGTTCGGATCGACAAGAACTTTTCCGGCAAAGCCATCCAATGCTCCACTTCCGAAGATGCCCCAACAAGCTGATGCAGCCTCAATAGTTTTGTTGGCATTATTACTGTTGTCCTGAAAAAATCCAGTCTTATATGGATTGGTCACAGCTTCAACTAACGCTCTTGCAAAGGCAATAACCATGGCATCTGCACCCAAATTGCCATTTGGTGGGTTCAATGTTATAGATAGAGGCCCTTTGTCTGGCTTTTGGAATGGCCATGCACAAGCCCCTGGACATTCATTTTGTGGGTTGCCAACCACAATATATGGCTGCTCATCACCTACGCACAATTTCAATCAAGTAATAATCAGTATGTTAAGTACCAAATCGTTATACATATATAATCATTGATAATATTTTTTTCTAATTAATATTAAACAAAATTACCAAAAGTTCCATGCTGCGAGCATTTCGTGAAGCACAGCCCCTGCATTTGAACGTCTTTGGAAGTAAAAATAACAGGGATGGTGTCAGAGCGTCCCCCAGTCGCCTTCTGCAAAACTTGCTGAATAAACTCGCTTGTAGCAACTTTTCCTGCAGAATATTTTGGATCGGTCACTTGCTTCACAACTTTTACGTTGATAGGGCTACTTCCCTTCCTGGCAACCTCCTGGTAGCTCTCAATGACATTCCACCATGATGAGACTTGAGGTTGTAAGTTGGCTCCTGCATTGTAATGTAAGGATTCAACGAAGGTCCTGATGACATTCTTATGGACACGCCCAAACTGACCGTACCAAATAAGAGTTAGGTTTAGGTTTCCTGTCAGGAGGGGGCCTCCATGGTAGGTTATGGAAGCGGTATCGATGCCAAGACACACAGGGAAGAGGAGGAGGAGCAAGCAGAGAGAAACAACAAGAGGGCGACTTGGGAGAGATGACGTCATTGCCAAGATTTTCTGCCTTTCTCTTCCATTGGTCACCATATATCTAACTTCAAATTTATGGCCAGTGTGCATGCATGGATACAGATTGTTAGTTGCCTACAAATAGGCAAGTTAAGGTTACCAGACAGCTGTTCTTTTGTAAATCCTTGAAGGAGCTAATTTTATGGAGCTTACTGCCTTGGTTCTCTGCATTTTAGCGGACAAATCGGTTTTGAGATGAAGGCTAATTTTAAGGTTACCAGACACACAGGGATATGGATTATGTTCTTTCCCCTCTTTCCAACGAAAAAACAAAACTCAAACCCCAACCTGTCCTCCCCCACTTTCCAACTGAAAAAACAAGCTCCTCCAAAGCAATTTATACATATCAAAGACGCAAAATGACTTATTACATCCTTTTATTAAGTTAGCAAGGTAACCAAAGAACATAATCCAAATTATTTGGTGATGTTATATTTACAAAGCTGAATACGACAGTCAACAACCAGGCATTCGACAGTCAACAACCAGGCATTCACACAAGACTTGATCACAGATGTACCAGCACGTATCCTGCAATGGAAAAATCAGTAATCATCCATATGGAACACGTATAACCACAAGTGACTTCCACAGCAAAGTGATAAAGAAGCAAAAATAGATCACCCCTTAATGATTAAGCCGGCAATTGCAACAAGAGGAGAATCAGATAATATATGGAAACTCAAAACTCCACAGAGCAAGCATGGGAAGAACATTATGTATACATCGATTTATTTCCTCTTTTTCTTTCAAATCCCAGTGTGTCAGGCAACAAAGTGAACATATATTACACACATTCATAACCAGTGCATTCAGTTGTGAGGTTTCTCTTCGTTTGCATTGATATAAGAGAGTGGGTTTCTTTACATTTCGGCCATTTTGGTGACTTGTCTTCAATTTTCCTTAGCCTCGCAGCTACTGACTTAACACCACTCGTCATGTAACTCACCACAGCTATAAGAAGCTCTCTGCACACAATATCCTCAACGTTAAGAATTCTGGAAATGTTTCTGGCTACATCAAACAGAACAAGATATACTATAATGCATGCTGCAAGAATCTCATGCTTACAATGAGAAAATAAGGCAATAAACAAGAAATGAAGAGCCAAGTGCATCATCAAAAATCTGGCATCACTACATTATTATGATGCACATAGCTGCTCCACAATATGGAATGTTGTTCCATCTTGTCAGATTTAAAACAAATTGTCAGCCACAGCCAGTGTGTTGGAATATAGAAATTTCATAAGAAAATGAATTACAAATGCAAATTATGAAATAAAAGGATATTATAAATGATAAAAAGTGGTTTCTACTTACAAAGGTGAGCAAGGGGAACGACCACCATTTACGTAGTAAACAAACAAGAATGAATCATAATGCTGGCCATTGATTAGATAAAAACCTTGCAACCTTCGTATACACTTGAATGACATTTTTTTGTACAAATGAATGGCAGGAATGTTGTAAGAAATCACATGCAGGTAAACTGCACGGCATGTTGGAATCCTTGAAGCATATTTAATGACCTGACAAATAAGAGACCTTGCTGCAAATCAAACAACCAAGTAACTAATCATAAAGCAAGACAAATTTCAAACAGATATTTTAAAGTAAAGTTCCTTTGTGGTGCAGATCGTACCTATACCAAGATTTCTGTAAGTTTCTACTACTCCAAGTGTCAGGATATAAACTAATGTTTGATCTGGTTTCGAGGGGTCATATCTGAGCAAATCTCCTATCTACAAAGCAGGTGCAGGTTCACATGAATTAGTAGAAAGAGAGACATAATTTGTGGAATGCAATAATGATTTCAAAATTACACCTATTATGCCTTTGGATAATGAAAAACAAACAAAGCTTGAAAGAAGAATCCAGCTGCATCCTGCATCTGATGAATGCTGGTGGGTTGGAATTACTGTGTTAATAACCAACTATAGCTCAATCCCACTACAGATGCAACATTAGAATACCATGGACATTAGAATGAGGATATATTTTTGCTCGTATTTGTCACAGGAGTTGCATAAAACAAGTGAGCTTGAGTTATCCAGTCATACTGGCTTGACACTTCTTGGGAATATCTATTATTAGTTGCTGCATCACACAGGTATATGCCAAATATGCCTATGTAAGGCACAGATGCAAGTGATGCCCCTTGAAAAAGTAGAAAACCCACCTCCGTTTCTTTTGCCAGTACAATCCGCGCGGTAACAAATCCAATAAGTTCATCACTCTGACCATTAGGTCGGCTGCGGTCAACTGCAGCCCAGGAAACAATATCACGTTCATTGACAACACTTTGGAAAAACTCTGACTCATACCTGAAAGGAGGAATTCATTTCCATTTAGAAACAAGAAAAGCATGTTACAGATTAAAACACACAAAATATTCAGAAGAAAAAGAAAAGGAGCATTAGAGGAAGCAATCAACCTGATAGGAAATATATCAGCATGGATTCGCTCTAACGCCTCCAAATCAGAAGGTTGCATATGTCTGTAGCATATGGTTGGACGATGAGAAACTTTTTGGTTCTCCATTGATGGTTTTGCTGTTAATCTCCTACAAAGATATGGTAAATTTGGAGAACTTGCGTCTGGACTTCTTCCATTTATACCACATTTGTCATGTCTCCAAGCAATAGTTGCTGGAAGACACAGAAAATTATCCTATCATAAGTTTGTTACAGCAGAAAAAACACACAAATTACATGAAAGGAGGCGCACAAACAAGAAACACGAGTTAGAAGATGACAAGTTGGTAAACATAAAAGAATAGATAACGGTTTTTTCCGTTTTTTATTACTATTATTATTAATTTTTTTTTTTTTGGGGGGAGGGGTGGTGTGGGGGTGGGGATGGGGGAGGAGACCTTATCAAAGGTGCGTGAAACCCAGATCATGAGACCCATGCTAACCCATGTATTGCTCAATCACGAGCAGGTTGCCAAATACAATCTTCTCAAAAGCATGGGGAGATGAACCATGTGCCTACTAGACATGTAAACCTCAATCTATTTTCCACTCAAGCCAACCCTGGAGGATTAATGGATAGCTAAAGGCTAAAGATGGTTGGCGCCCCATTAATCCTTGTTTTTCTTCCCGTAATTAGCCAACTTCGTATAACTTTCATAACTAATATCTTTGCCTTCAGATATTACAGTACGAATTATGTGATTCATATGATTCTAACTGATTGCAGATTGGGAATTGCAAGACTAGGAAACTAAGACGTATCACTCGTTCCACACTGAATCAAAACCACAATTGTGTGCAATAAGATAACACTAAGAGGAAAAGAATAAAAAAATCCTATGTACAGATAATTCAGCAAAAAACAAATAGAGATTGCACCATTCCACAACAAACCCACGTCCTGAAAATAACAACCGAATATCAATAAAGCTAATTCTTAGTAATCAGATGATAAAATTTCGACTAAGCTAAGCAACAGAACCAGCGTTGACAGAGATGGAGAGAGTAAGCCATGTTTTCAGTTCCCATTTCAAAAATTTGAAACTCCCAACCCAAAAGAAAAGGAAAGACAGTGTCAAGAACTAACCATCTCTAAACTAAACTACAATCATAATTCTTCCTAGAAACTTGTATTCATATAACAAAAAAAAAGGCTAAAACTTTCAAACTGCAACGTCAAAAGCAAAGAAAACAATCATACATGACTGTTGTACCATAACAAATTCAAATAAATATTAATACATAGCGAATAACTAGAAAGTTGTCAAATTTGGAAGAAAAAACAAAAGCCCATATGAGATCTGATGTTGCAAAACATAATAAAAGGACTTACCTTCTTGATTTTGCAGGGTAGCTTTGCCGGCTGATTATATCTTGAATGAGAAAAGGAAAGAAAGAAGGGGTAGAAAGAGGAGAGGATTGGGACTTTTCACGGAAAGGAAGTAAGTTGAGATTCTTATAAAGGAATCTGATACTCAGCTTTGCTTTTGATGGAAAAGCTGAATCTTTTCTGTTCAAGAAAACACAGAATTTTGCTTTGTGAATTCTTGATTATATTACAATCTTGGAATACTGGTCTGGGCCGTCTGGCGCTGGGGCTCACTGCTTTTCATTCTATTAGGGTGACTTGACTTTTCATCTCTCTTTATCACCAAAATGTCAATTTTGTTTTTGTTTTTCATTGTAATTGCTTATATATTTATAAAAAAAAATGTAAATTTGTTCTCATTATGTATTTGCTCAATCTTATCTCAAGTCATTGATATGTTCTAATTATACTTTCTATTTTTCATTTTTATTCCACTATGTGTAAATTTTGATTTTATCTTCAAAATTTACGAAATATCTCACTATAATCTAACAAGATAATAATAAAAATATTTTAAATTAATCAAATCGTTAAAGAATACTTTTTTTTAATAAAAACGAATATGATAATATTTTTTTTAACAACACAATCTAAGAGTTTTTGACATACAAGAGTAAATTCAAGCTAAAAAAAATGTGATAAAAATTATTAATATGATTGTTTCTCATGGAGAAATTTTATAATACACGAGGAGTAACTAGTGACATGTACAGTAGTTACTCTTTGGATCCATTTTGATAAGAGATAAACACACAAAAAGAGAAAAAAAAACAAGAGAGAAAATAAAAAAATTTAAGCGAACGTGAAAATTTTCTTATCACTTTTAATGGGTATAAATGTAATTTTTATCTTTTTTTATGTATCTATATGTTTCTTCAAAGTGAACCCAACAAATAACTACTCGTACATGTCATTAGTTATTCTCTATATATTATAAAATTTTTTGTTTCTCGTGTACTTGTTCATTGACATATTATATTTATACTTTTTTATCAAATTTTTTTATTAAAAATACTAAATACGAATTCTAGAAAAAAAAAAAATTTCATATGAATAGAATGATAGCTCTAGTATAGGATAATTTTGACATTATCATAGTTATTTGAATTTATCAAAAATGCTATTTTAAGCCACTATCAAATAAAGAAGGAAACTTGTTAGATAAGAGAGATAAGAATGGTGAAAGTTTTTGTCATAACCTGTTTTTTATCTCAAATTTTGATAGAATTTATTTATCCAAAAATATTAAAAAAATAAATGTATATAGGATTTTTCATAATTTTTAAAACATGCTTATAATTTTCTTCATTTTTGAAAAATTTAGAAGAAAAACAAAAAAAATACTAGCAAAAAAAAAAAAAAACTAAAGGAAAGCTAGAAAAAAAATGGAAAAAAAGTCAGAACAAAAAAAAATGAGAAAAAAAAACCGCACTATCGAAAAAAAAAGAAAAAGAAAAAAAGATGAAAGGTCAAAGATCAAAGTGGAAAAGATAGAGAAATTGAGAGACCGAAAAACTTTAACTAAACCAAACGGCCTTGTTTTGAATTAATTGAAATGAAAATAATAAAACTAATAATCCTGGCATAATGAAACGATGTTGTTTCATCATGTCTTTTTGAAAAAGAAAACCTTTCATCTGGCTAGGTGTTTGACTCAATTTTACCTAAAGTAGGATTAAGCCATTTAGGAAGAGTAATAAAATCAGAATAGGATAACCCAAACACATGTATCTTTCTTCTCTCTTTTCCTTTCTTTTATTTCTTCTTTTTTGTGCTCTCTTTTTTTTTTTTTTCGCTTCAATTTTCTCTATGCTTATAGTTTTCTCCATACTCACTTATTTTAACTCTAAACTCATAAAAATTCATAAGAAAAACTTAAAAGTTTTTTTAAAAAATTGAAATAAAACAAATAAAATATAAACTTTTGAAATTTTTGAAAAAATTATAAAAATAAAAGGTCAAAATAGATTATAACACGTGACAATAAATAACAAAATCGTTTTCCAATTCTACAAACTTATACTCTTTTTCTTTCCAAAAATAGGTACTACAACCCATATCAATTATTAGGCCTTGAAAGATTAACATTAGAAATTAGTAATTAGGGAAACAAAAAAGAGAGACATATTATCACAACAGGCTAAATTAACCACCACTATACATATTATCACTACGGATTAAATTAGTCACCGCTACAAAAATAAAAGAATATTCTGGTATCCTCTTGTAATAAGATTTTTTTATAAATTCAAATACTCAAAAAACAAAATTTAAACATGTAATCCCTTGCAAGTACTAGAAGATCATTACCATTAAATTAAAAATCTATTGGTCTAAATTGCAATTCCCATGCTAAAAAACAAACCAATATATAAACTTCAATCATAATTCTTCGTTTCTAGATAGAATCTTTCATTCATAAGTAAAAGAAAATGTTATCAAAACAACACAACAAAATGTTCATACAATGCTAAATCCAATTGAAATTCAACAAAGTGAGTTGAAAAAACCAAAATAAAAGAACTTGCGAAAGGAAAAACAGAATGCATGAAGAGGAAGCAAATCCTACTTTCTTTAATTTTAATCAGCTTTTATTGTTGCTCTTATAATTACTATAATGTACACATAATAAGTGTATTTCATTGCTCTTTGCAACTCAGACAACACCCTCAGTCATGAATCTATGGTTAAGTACAGCTTCTGCAATTGGTCGTTTTCGAAAATCTGGATTTAGCATTGCCTACACAACAGAGAGAAACAACATTATTTCATACCAAAATGCTAATGACTAAAAAAATGATCTTACCCTATGGATCCATTAGAAGTTTAGCACACAGTGTTGGAATAATAGTGAGTTTTTACCTCTCAAATTAGGGTAGGTTTGAATTCTATTTGCTGTAACAGGAGAGTTTTAAACTTATTTTCCAAAATAAAGTGTCAAAATATATAGCTATAATCTATATGGATTAAAGAAATAATATAATTAAAAACGTATGCAATTTAATAATATAAGATCCGGCATTGATCTCCAATTATTCTAAGTTTCATTTAGCATGTATGTAACTTCTCATTTTATCTTTTGTTTTCACCGATTATTCTGTTTTCCATTCACTGAAACAACATAAAACAAATTCTTCGTATCTCCTCCACAAATAATACAACCCAAAATTCTATCTCTATTCTTTAGGGAATATAAGAAACACATTGCATGCCAGAGTTATATCTTAATTTTTGCAACCTGTCAATTCCTTCGTCTAGAAATAAATTGGAATTCTAAATCTAGATCTTTATCAATTCCTTAATGTAATTGACTTTAAAATATTTTTTCTAAAACAATTTATGCATGTTTTATCATCAACTTAGCAATTAAAAACATCTTTTAATAGACCAAATGCTACCTATAAATGGTAAACACGCAAATCTAATACAACTCAAATCATTTCAAGAAAAGTGGAGATCCTAAATTTCTTCATTACTGAATACGGTGGTTCATAGAAAATAAAAGACAGGAAGGGAAGAAAATATTTCCATTTTCAAAACAAACTTTTGAATTGCAAGATGATTATAAAATAAGAAAAGACAGCCTAAATGAGGCTTGCTGCATAGAATTTAAGATTATTTTTTTAGACGATTTTTCTTTAGGTCAAATAATATGTGTGTATATATATAGAGAGAGAGAGAGAGAGCCTATACGGTAAAAAAAAAAAAAAAAAAAATCATTTTAGTATATAAAATTAAAACTATGCCGTTATGCAAAAAAATAAATTCCAAACTACCTTGTTTTGACAAAAAAAAAAAAAAAAAAAAGAATAATACTTGTGGAACTGCACAAAGAGATACTACTAATCATGAACTTTAAACTCTAATTCTACCTGAAGTAATTGCCAACCAGCTCGATCACTGAGATCTAGAAACTTCACAGCTTCCTCCAAACGATCATCTGCTAAACAATATCTGCACCAGAAAAAGCAATGACAGAGGAAATTGCATTATAAGGGCATCACAAGATCCTTGGGAAGCTACAGTCTATTGAAAACCATCTAACAATTGGCCAAAAAATGGTTGAATCCTATAATTTGCCTCTATGTTTGGTGTTTAGCCGTTAATTTTATTCTCGTGTTTTTAATTCAGTCAATTTACTGTTATGTTATTCAATTTAAGTCAATAAGGCCAATTACTATAATTTATTTGAATCAAGCATTAATTTTGAGAGGTGTGGCACTAAATGGGTGTAATCAAAAGAGAAACAAAATAAAATATAATGCAGAATAAATTTTAATAATTAGCCTCAATTGACTCACATTAAATAACATATGGACAAAACGTTGAATATAATGCATAATTTCGCTTTTTGTCATGTTCCAAGGGTAGCAAAGTGTCCGTAGTTCTGTTGAGCAGTCGAGCCACATTGAGAAGCATCTACATCATGATTTGATGCATGGACTCAACTAAATAAGAAGCAGCCTTGAAAGTTTTGAATACACAAGACAAAAACATAATTCTTGAATTCAAGCTAAACCAAAAGAAGTATACTTGTAAATATACTATCTAATTCCGACCTCTAAACTCCTATAATTGAATTCATCTTATGCATGCACTGACTGATGGACTTTATGCAAGTCATAAGGTACAGAAATCAACTTACTCTCTTGTAGCTTCAAAATCGAGTCGGAAAGTGCTTTCTATAAGTCTCTGCAAGTTCACGCGTAAATTATTAGAGTCAGGAAAACACATGCTGAAGATTATGAAAGTATGTATAAATGCATTTATGTGCTCTGGACTTGCTTATGCCACATAGATGAAAAGAAAGGCCAGCCCATAAATGATATGATAATTAATCAGAGGGACAGTTGTATTGCTGCTTACTTGCAAAGACAGAGTATCCATGATGCCTGCTTCGCAAAAGGGAACAAAAGCTAAGTATGCAAGAAGAAGACCAGCTTCATATCTATGTAAGACCAGAAAAGAAATTGGTCGAAGGGGATAAAAAGCTGAGACAAAGTACTGACAGAACACATCCAAGTTTAGAAAAAATACATATCATCTGCAATTCCAAAGGCTCTTTTCTCCATAGGTGTGAAGGCTCCAGCAGCAATTGCCCTTCTCCAAAGTCCTTCTGAAAGTTTCCCAAGGCCATCTTCTAGATTTGAAATCCTGATAAGTCATGGTTGGATGTGAAAATGTGTTTAGGTGTTTAAACCTGAGAAATTATGCAGCCCTATCAAGAAGCCTCTTAGAGTCACATGTTTGAGATATCCTTACAGGCATTAGGATTCATGGATGGCATATACAAAAATCTACAACGGTTTCAAGTCCGTTTTCTCTCAAGTGAATAGTATTTGGTCGGGCTTTAATTCACTAGGTACATTCATAAAATAATTTTTTGCCAATTTCTATTCCTTGGAAGTAAAAAGCCTTTAACATCTCCTAAACTCAGTTGCCAGCTGGTGAACAATCTGGGAGAGTCGGTTTGAAACCAGATCTTCGTTGGATTGGGCATTATGATGGATTGATAGTTAATCCCATCCCTTTCTGCAGCAGTCTGCATATAGATTGTTTGAGAGTATGCATCTAAGTGAAAAAAAAAATAAATTAGTATGACAAGAAAAATGAGTCTGCAGTGGACAACAGGATAATTATCAGTTGACTGTTGGATTCCTTCCTTCATGAAACATTCAAATTAAATGTTTAGTCTGTTACATTCTCAATAATCACAAAATATTACGGGGGCAAAAAAATGGGCTGAAAAATTGAGCATATCCATAACACTAAAATAAATGGAACCGATATGTGTTACGTGCCCTAAACATGCAGGTCAACACCAAGATTCACTTTGCAGACAATTAAGTAAGAACATAGCAACTGCAATTATTCCTTCTTTTTTTTTTTTTTTTTATATATATATGTTTGAATTCATTCAGTCGTGGTTCAGTAAACCAAGTTTGTTTTAAACAGCATACCCACAGTGTTGTAGTATTGTAGAAGAATCACTTAGATAATGGATAAAAGGCCAGAGAAGACATTTCCAAGTTGAAACAAAAGTCTGCAGAGAAGTAATTGCAAGAAAAAGAATTTTATAGTACCTAATATCAACAGAAAAGGCTAGATCTCGAAGTCGTGGAACTAAGTAAACAGCTTCTCTCTCTGCTATAGTGCTGCCATTAATCAAGAAAAACTTCATGTGAAATATCACAATGTAAACAGACTAATTCTGACAGTAACAGTTCGAAGAATAAACACTAAAATGAAAATCTATGAACATACTTGAGAACAATAGAAGATGGTCCAAGGCTCTGGTGTAATCTGTCATGATCATGCATGTAGGCTAGACCAGTAATAGCACCCCGAAGTAGCCTGATAACAAAATATCTTCTGCGCTTGAAGGTTTCTTCTCGTTCAAAAAGATTCCAAGAATTGTCCTTATTCGAATAGCTTTTTGAATTTTTTTCACTTGTAAATTTTGCATAGTCTGCCGCACTATATTTTCCATCATTACGAAAAGCAAGCCACTGTGAAGATTATTTCATCAATTTGTAATCATATAAGGAAATGCCCAAAACAATTACTACCAGTTTTTCTTATTTGACCTGGTATAACAAACCTGTTCCCCAGTTTTTGTTTCAAATCCTCCAACAAGCATTAGGAGATTCTGACATGTATCTTTTGAGCTGCTCTGTAACAGATGTACATGAAGGATCTTTAATAGTATATATTCCTTTACACTCAAATCCCAACATATTCTAAACATGAAGGATACATCAAAATAAAGATAATGTGTCACTAATATTTCAAAACCTTCATCCGACCTGAAGTGAAGCATGAGCATTGAGCTCATTTGCAGCCATCATATCAGCTTCTATGCCACCAGTTCGTTGTCCAGGATATACCTTCATAACCAGAAATCTCAATGTGATAAAGCGAATCCAAAGAATTAATTTAAGCTGAAACAATAGAATTATAAATGTGCAGCGGGGCAGAAAAAATAAAAAATAAAAAACAGTTGAACTTTACATTTGTACTAATGCAATAGATCAATAACATTGTTTCCAATTCCAGAAGGAGCAAAAGAAAAATCAAAGATAACTGAGAAAAGATAAATTTTGAGAGAAACGTCAGATTGAAGTTGCCCTAGTTGCTAGAATTTTCAACTACTCTCAATTTCAAGGGACATTAAAAAATTGATAACAAATGTAGTTGTTAATTCATTAATACTTGATAAATCAGACTTCAAAAAGAAAAATATAGATGCTCATGGTTCATTGGTACTTTATTATTTAGCTACATGTTTCTCCATTAATCATTAACTATAGGTATTTTTAGAAATATATAGATGCTTATGGTTCACTATTATTTTATTGAATTAATTTAATAGTTTTTTGTTCCAAAAATACCTTCTTTTGTAGTCAAATTATCTCATCTTACATACTTCTCTTTTCTTTATTCTATTTTTCTATAAAGAAAAAAAAATATGAATTGAAAAAAATATGAAATTGACAAGAGAACTAAACTATAAACAAATTTAAAAATACAGAGATTAAATACATTGTTTCTAAAACTACAAGAATTAATAATTACTTTCGTTAAACTATAAGGACTACATTATAATTTACAAATTTAAAAATATAGAGATTAAATATATTGTTTCTAAAACTACAAGAATTAATAATTACTTTCGTTAAACTATAAGGACTACATTACAATTTCCTCTTAGTTTATTATTTAGCTACATCTTCTCTTTTAATTTTTTTTAACTCATAAAATGGAAATAACATATTGAGCTCTTGGCCGAATATAATATTCTCATCACAAATAGTTGGTTTGGCTATTATCATTTATCTAAGGAAATCAGAACTTAGACCAGTAGAGAAAATTAATAACACAAATTGTCAAGAGAACGGAAAATTTACTATAACCCAATGAAGGGTAAATTATAAATTAGTTTCTTTAGTTTCGAGAAATGAATTAATTAGTCTTTTTTGTTTAAAAACTAGCTATTTAGTTTCTATATTTTTAAATTCTTTTGTAACTTAATCATTTTCACTCTTTTCACTTTATTTTGATTTTTTATTTTAAAAAATAAAAAAATAGTAAAATGAAAAAAAATTATAAGAAAAGATGAAATTTTATAAAATAAAGTACTATTGAATTAAAAGTGATCAATACTAGTTAAATAATTAAATAATTAATTTTTAAAACAAAAGAAACTAACAATTGTTTTCTTAAAAATAAAGTAATAACTTTATAATTTACTCCCAAATGGATTACAATACTTTTTTTTTTTTAGCACTTGCTCCACCTGTGTGTTATTTGACTATTTTATAGCTTTTTTTTTTCCCTACAATCTCTAAAAGATTATTTTTAATATTTATTAAATTGAAATGTTTGTTTCTTAAAATCTGAATGGTTTTATATAAAATTTGATAATTTATAATTGATTTGGTTTGTTTGTTTTCTAAAACATATAAATAAATTTTAACAACATTTAAATAAAAACATGTAAATTTTAATTCCATCCCAGAAGTTTATTAACTATCTCAATACTATCTAAAAAATAAAGAAGCAAATATACATTCAAATTATATAAAAGCAGAGTGAGAGATGAAGAATCACCTTAAAAACAACAGGAGTGCCTCTAAGCGAACCCTGAGCTATTCTTCCTTCATAAAGCCTGAAAAATAACTGCCATGAATATATAATAGTTATCACTATGAGTGATATACAGCAAGAAATTTATCTAAAGTGATTAATAATTCACAAAACAAATTCCATCATATTAATCATTATTTATGGCTCTGATTTTTTTTTTTTTAATAAGCACCTGATCTTTACGCTGCCTTCTCCCACGTCTTGGACTTTCAGTTGTTCACCTGAATATTCAAAATCCACTCCTCCTGATGAATAGCTGAAGACAAAATTAATTCCATTAATTTAATTGATTAATTTAAACTAGTTAATTTATATATACACACATATACTACCTGGTAATGTTCATGAAACCGTAGCTGCCAATGAGTCTCCCAACTTCGAATGAGTCGGGGCTTGTAATCAGACTACTCGCTATACAGAGTCGTCGACTCGTCTGAGTTCGACTTAGCGAGTTTAACGTCCTCCTTCTTTTAGCGAATAAGAGATCCGATGAGAGTTTAAGATTGCCAGAGAAGAGCATCGATGAAGAAGAAGAAGAAGAACAGGAGAGGCAATCAGGTGAAACGAGAAGCATCCTCTCTCTCTCTCTCTCTCTCTCTCTCTCTCTGGATATCAATCAATCTGTCTCTCTGTAAAAGATAATGGAAATGGCGCTACTCGTTAATGGATGGATAGATAGAGTAATTATCCATTAATATCGTTCCACGTCATCATAATGAAATGGGAATGGCGAGACCGGGTTAAGCAAATGTGAAGTAGATAAATTAGTTCCTCTCGTTTAAAAAAACTAATTATTTAGTATCTTATGTTTTAATTTTATCATTAACTTATTTCTTTCGTTAATTTTTTATTAGAAGGGTGACGAAGTTTATTAATTGCAGTATTCTTTATTTTTAAATTGCTTTTTTTTAATACATTATTTCTTTCATTCTCACATATTTTCATTTCTATCTCCTTAAGCATCAAAACAAATTCATATTCCTGGCATTAAATTTTTTCTCCTCAAATCTCCATTTTTCATTTTATTAATGTTCACTCTCCTTTTCTTTTCTCAAACAACAAAATATATTCATGAATATATATATATATATATATATATATAAAGAATATTTAGATGTTGGAGTTAATTTGATAAATTTGATAAAAACATAATGGTAGTAAATTTTCAATTTTTATTTCATTAAATTTTAATTTCTTTTTTCTCATCAATCATCAAATCACATGTATATAATGAATGTTCATTTCATATTCTCTCTCGCTATTCATGTGATTCGATTCACCATTCAATATGAGAAATTGAAAAGATGATGCAATTTATTAAATTATTTATGCATCTTTTAATGGTTCATAGTTCCTTCCAATTCTCTTCCTAATCTTGAAGCCTATAAATAGATTTAATTGTTTATTAGTTTGTGTACAAGTATTTTGTAGAGATTGAGAAATTATTTGAAGTTGTTATCTCTTAAATTCACTTTATTTTATAGTGAATTCATTTTCTTATAATCTTTCTCTTCAATTCTACTATTGTTATCATTTATTTTATAATACGTTATCAGCACGAAGCTCTAACCAATCAAGATAATAAACCATGAGATATGTATCTACCAAAAGACTTAATCATTTGTTTCAACCATTGAATTTTTTCTACACGAGTGCTCTACTAAAAGATCTAAATTATTTAGATCATTAAGAGGTATGTATCTAATTTATCATGTACTTTAAATCTAATGATACATAGAATATACATTTGAAAAATTTAAATGGTCTAATATATAAAATCTAATGATCTAATATATATTGTTTGAAAGGTTTAAATTTTATTATTATGTTTATTTTTATTTTCTAGTATTATTATTATACTTTGCATTATAGAATTTTTATGATATCAAATCTCACAAAACTTGATTTTGTGGCCCTTGACATTTTTGATAAGAATTATTAATCATGAGTGCTTGATGTTGAGTAAATTAATATTCTTTATTTTTTATGTTTTGAATATGCTCTTGTATAGAGAAAAGGAGTTTAAGAAATATTTAAATCGATTTCATACTTACTCATGGCTAAATAAAATGACAAGCTAGTAATGAAAAAGAATGAATCTCGTCCAACTAAATCTACTTCATTCTCCGAAGTGAATGTGACAACTTATAATAATTTTGAGCATAGACAAAAATATGGTCGAAATAATTACTATTATAATCATAATGACCATAATAATATATCTCATCACTAGAAGTGGATAAACTATGAAAAAAATAAAAATGGATCAAGTCGACATTTTGAAAATGAATGTTATAGACGTGACATAAATGGACATTGGTTACGTACCTGCCATACACTAAAGCCTCTCATTAAACATTATCAAGCTTCATTGAAAAAGAAAAGATTAAAATATAGAATGCATTTCTATATATCAAAATTGAGGTAGTTAAAATTAATAACTTGTTAACGTTTTTATTTATAAATAAGATGTTTTATATTTTTTTATAATTTCTATTGCATAGAGATAGATATAACTTTATTTTACTATTTATTTATTTATGTTTATAAAAAATTATTTATTTATTTTGTGTTTACTTATTTATTTATTTTATATTAATATTGTATATGATAATATCAATCTAATAGAAAGCTTCGAAAAATAATGATTATATTATTACTTGAAAAAAAAATTTTGAGGCTCTAGAAGAGCAAATATATTATTATTTGAAATGAAAGAATTTAAAGGCTCTAAAAGGACAAATATGTTATTATCTAAAAGGAGAAATTATAAATGATGTAGTATTCTCTCTAAAGTCTCATAGAAATTTATTGAGTTTTAAAGATATTCATCTAAATTGATATTATATCAAGATATCAAATATGAAAAATATTGAATATTTATAAATCGGTTAGGAAATATGCATTGAAAAAATTTATCCGCTTTCTCTTTTGGTTTTTATTACAAACATTGGAATGAGTAAAAAAAATGTTGTAGTAAATCGAAGTTTACTAAATCAAATACTTTTATTATGTGGCATGACCAATTATTTTATCATGGGTCTTAAAAAAAAATTAAAAATTCATATGAGCATCTATTGAAGAGCCGGAAGATTCATCAATTTCATGAATTTTTATGTTCTACATGTTCTCAAAGTAAATTGATTATTAAGCTATCACCAAGTAAAATTGAGATTGAATCTTTAGTATTTTTAGAATGTATTCAATGTGATATATATAGATCAATTCATTCACCACATGGACCATTTAGATATTTTATGATTTTAATACATGCACCTATAAAATGATCATATGCATGTTTATCATCTACTCAAAACCCGAGGCTTTTGAGGTTGCTAACTCAAACAATACAATTACGAGCATAATTTCTAAATTATGCTATTAAAAGAATTCACCTTGATAATGTCGATGAATTTATCTTCCAAGCATTAAATGATTATTGATTGACTATTAGAATAAATGTTGCACATCTTGTTGCTCATGTTCATACTTGGAAAGATTTAGTAAAATCATTTAACAAAAGGCTCCAATTGATAGTTGAACCATTATTTAAAAACAAAACTCTCTATTTATATTTGGAGACATACAATCCTACATGCAACGAACACGTATTCGTATCATACCCATAAGTTATCGAATTTCTCCTTTCTTTAATTAGTTTGTGGTCATGAGCTAAATATTTATCGTTTAAGAATTTTTGATTGCATAGTATATATCCATAGTGCTCCTCCACAACGAACTAAAATTGGCACTTAAAAGAGATTGGGAATATAAGTTGAATTTGAATCATCTTCGATAATTAAATATCTTGAACCATGAACAAGAGATATTTTTATAGCTCGATTTATCGATCGTAATTTTGATGAAATAGTTTTTTCAACATTAGGAGGAGAGAATAAGCAAAATAAGCGAGTTGAAAATGTTGAAAAAAATTATATGGACTACTCTATCTTATATTATCTTGATCTTCGTATAAAATAATGTGAACTAGAAGTTCAAAAGATAATTCATTTATAAGGTATTGCAAACCAACTGCTAGATGCATTCTCATATCATAAATGAGTAACTAAAATGCATGTCCCTACCGAGAATGCTCATATTAGAATTAATGTCCTGGAAGGACAATCTATCAATATTATAGCAAATGAATCTAAAGCATGCTTGAAACATAAAAGATCGATCGATTCTAAAAATAAAAATCTCTAAAAGAATAGGATAAATAATTAAAATATAAAATATAAAAGATGCAAATATTCATAAAACACTCTAAGATATTGTTGATAATAGGCTTCGAAAGAAGTCTAAATGCTTGAAAAAAATCAAGAGACTTTGATAAATTATATCAATATAGGGAGAAAATAGGTCCAAAAAAATATTTATTAATAAGATTTTTACATATAATATTGCAATTGATATTTTAAATAAAAATAATGGTTCCGAGCCTAAATTTATTGAAGAATATCGACATAGAGATGATTGAACTAAATGAAAAAAGCAATCCATATGGAATTGTATTATCTTATAAATGAGTAGTTTTTAAATTCACGATCAAAATAATTGAAGATGTTGAGCTAATGCTCATAGTTAAAACAATTGAAGATGTTGAGCTAATGGGATACAAATAAGTATTTTTATGAAAAAAAAAATGAGATTATGAAATACAAAGCAAGACTTGTAACACAAGAGTTTTCGCACGGACCTAACATTGACTATGAGGAGATATATTCTCCTGTAATGGATGTAATTACATTTTATTAACTTGTTAACTTGGCAAAGTATATGAAAAACTTCATATGCATATATTTAATGAATGTGATCATGAGCTTATTTGTTTAGTCAAAAATGATATCTATATGAAAGCCCTAAAATGACTTAAGATGCACGAAGCATGTAATATATATTCTCGAGAGATGAATTATAAAGATCTCTATCGAAAATATTTTAGTATTTTTTTATTATTTTAGTTTTTAAAAATTCAATTTATGTTATACTTTTTGTATTTATTTTTTATTTTTCAATATCTTTTCTTTATTACTAACTTATGTGCATATAGTATAATTGTTTCAATAAATATTTATTGAAAGAAGATTATAAAAATAACCATATTTGTTTATGTATTTTTGCAAAGAAATTCAAAAGAGGGTTTGTGATAATTGTTGTATATTTTGATGATTTAAATATTATGGAAACTCTCGAAGAGATTCAAAGTGCCAAAAGTTATCTAAAAAGAGAGTTTGATATGAAATACCTTAGGAAAGTAAATTTTTATCTCGATCCGTAATTCGAGCTCATAAAGAATGATATTTTTATTTATCAGTCAATTTATATAGAAATTGTTTTACAATTATTCTATATTAAGATCATCTATTGACTAGCCTAATGATGGTTTATTCAATTGATATTCAAAAAGATCCTTTTCGACATTGAGAAGATAATGAATAACTAATTGATCTCGAAGTACCATATCTCTAGTGCCATTAGTGTATTGATATATCTATTGACTAGCTCATCATTTGAAGTTATTATCTCTTATATTCACTTATAATGAATAACTATTTTTAGATATTGTTTTGGAAATATGCAAGTGCTTAGTTATGTGTTTGGTGATATGAACTATATTTTTTATTGTGTCATACTATCATTGATTTAATTTTCAGCATAGATTAAGAAAAGAAAAATGCATGATTTGGGGGGTGGGGTTGGGAGCCCGAGAGGGGATGGGCAATGCAAATTATGCAATCGGTAGCAATGTAGCATAGCCTACTAGGGACCAGTTGAGTCGGGTCCAATTAGGCGGTGAGGTCGGGGGTGATTATTACCTAAACTCAAAATCTCTAATGAGTTCTCTGTGCATCCATATAAGTTTTTTGTAATGAGTCTTTTAGCCATATGATTTTGCTATTTTTTTAAACTACAATAATTTGTTTACCAATTAGATTTATACCGCTTGTCATTTTGCTCTATTCATATGATAGCAAGATTTGCATCCGGACCGAGTTGCGAATGGTGGAGCAAATGAAAAAGCACCAGCTCCATCTCTAGGTTCTTTCGGTTTATGTGGATTATATGCCTCTGCTTGGATCCCTAATCATTAGAGCTATAGTTACATCTTTCTCTCGGTTTCTAGTGGCAACCGTTGCCTTTCTTTAGTCGTTGACTTGAGCATATACACATTTGGTTGTGGATTATTAGAACTCCTTTATGATGTGGATATCTTTGTGAGACGTGAGGTCTTGTTTATTTCCATCTTAAAGCCTTTTAATATGGTGCATTTGATGTTTTTTGACTGAATGGCTTGAACTCTAAAACATGGTGGATGATGATTCATCTTGAATGTTATTATGTATACTTTGCTTTCCATATGGTTTGACATCAAGATTGCTAGACATTATGTAGTCAAATTTATTTTTTCATCTTTTTTCAAATAATTTTGAACATGCTCTAAATTTGATTGTTTGTTGAAGGGTTATAAGCATTTCAAAGTATTTTTGGGTACACTATAACATTGCAAGCTAATATGTATGCTTGCTATTTGATCAAAAGTAGAGAATTTTAGAAGTAGAAATCATTTAACATGTTGCAAAGTGCGGACATCTTCCAAGTCCCACCGGAGCACGCTAACTTAGTAGTCTCTTTGTTTGAGTACACCGTAACATTGTTGCAAAGTGCAAACATCTTCCAAGTCCCACCGAGCACGCTAACTTAGCGAGTCTCTTTGTTTGAGTACACCGTAACATTATTGCTAAGTCAATAGAAATCATTTAGCCTTGCAACAACAATATTTTACGAGTACATCTATAGCAATGTCTTTCTCTATTTTTAGGTACACTCGTAACATTGCAAGCTAATATGTCATGTATGTTGCCAAGTCATTTCATCACGTAAACTTGACATGTTGAAGCAATCCAATTCGAGATGCTTGATGTAACTTTTTTTGCTTATTCGTTGGTTTTAGCATGTGAAAAACAATTTGTTCCCGCATTAGATAATTTCACCTTTCCGTTCATCTTGAAGGGAGTAACCTAAAAGTTTGGTTAAACCGAATTATTTTGAAACCGAATTGAAATAATTCGGTTTCAAACCGAATTAATTTTGGTTCGGTTTTGAGTTTTCATTTTTCCTAATTCGGTTAATCGAAAACCGAATCGAATTAAGCTTAACCGAACCGTTTAACCGAATGATCATCCATTGTGATTGAGAAATTGAAACCAAAAAACGATCATTCGATTAAAAACTCTCTCCCACACTTGTTGAAAAAAAAAAACCTAAGGTCGTGTTTGGTATGGAATGAAAAAACTGGAGAGTAAATATTAAGTGAGTAAGATTTAAGGATGAAATTTTAAGGATGTAGTGAACGTTTTAATATTGTTTGGTAGTAGATAGTATTGAAGCCACCTTGCAAGCGTATCTCCAAAATGTATGTTAATTTAGCCTTATAATTGGTAAAGATACACTACATATTTTTAAATAAATAGTTTAATATTAATGATTTTTAAAACATTCCTGATTTAACATCATTAATCATTGATATTAAGTTAAGAAAATTTTCAAAGAAAAAAATTTATCAAAATAAATAAATAAATAAATTATTTTAGTGGTAAAAGGATTGTTTTAGTTTGGTTAAAATTAAGATTTAGTTTTTCATTATCTATAGATAATTAGTTATAATTATTTTTATTGATATTAAATTTTAGAAATTTTGGCTTAAAAACAGTTTAGTAGTTGATTAAAAATTAATTATATTATGATAATGGTTTAGTTTGATAAAAAAAAAAAAAATCAATATCGGTTCATACAAAATCTAACCGGAAGGACAGCAAAAAAACAAACAAAATTTCTCCCTAACCCATACATGTGAAACCGGTCAAAAACTACCCTTCCTCTTTCGTTGTCAAAACCTTAAATTCTCAATTCAAAAACCTACAAAAACCCTTTTCTCCTTCCTCAGCACCAGCACCAGCACCAGCGCCAGCAATCAATTAAAAAGAAAAAAGAAAAATTACAAATCTGAAAAAATATGCAAGCAATCCAAGTGAATCAAAAGAACAACCCAAAAGCAACACCGAAACGTTTCATAAAATCCCAAATCCCAGACTCAATCCTCAACGATCCATCTCTCAACGCCGCCATCTCCCTCCTACCTTCCAACTACAGCTTCGAAATCCACAAATGTATCTGGCGCGTCCGTTCCTCACAAGCAAAACGCGTCGCCCTCCAGCTACCCGAAGGCCTCCTCATGTACTCTCTAATCCTCTCTGACATCTTCACTGCCTTCGCTGCCGTCACCCACTGCTTTGTCCTCGGCGACGTCACCTACGGCGCCTGCTGTGTAGACGACTTGTCGGCTTTAGCTCTCCACGCTGATTTGTTGATTCACTACGGTCATAGCTGTTTGGTACCCATTGATGCTACTAAAATCCCATGTCTTTATGTCTTTGTAGAAATCAAAATCGACGTCAGCCGTCTGTTCAACACCATAAACCTCAATTTTGGGACCCCCAAGAGAAAAATTGTACTCGCGGGCACCATTCAGTTTGCTTCCGCTATTAGGGAAGCCAAACCTGAATTGGAAAATAATGGTTTTGTTGTTTTGATCCCGCAATCAAAACCCTTATCTGCCGGAGAGGTTTTGGGTTGTACTGCACCCAAAATGTCAAAAAATGTTGTTGCCAATTTGGGTTTTAGTGAGGAGGAGACGGTTTTGGTGTTTGTAGCGGATGGAAGATTTCATTTAGAAGCATTTATGATTGCGAATCCAGGGATCAAGGCCTTTAGGTATGACCCGTATTTAGGCAAGTTGTTTTTGGAGGAGTATGATCATAAGGGAATGAAGGAGGTAAGGAAAAAGGCGATAGAGAGAGCAAAGGGAGCGAGGAATTGGGGGATTGTTCTTGGGACGTTAGGAAGGCAAGGGAATCCGAGGATATTGGAGAGGTTGGAAAAGAAGATGAGGGAGAAAGGGTTTGATTATGTGGTTGTTTTGATGTCGGAGATTAGTCCGGTTAGGATTGCATTGTTTGAGGATTCTGTTGATGCTTGGATTCAAATTGCTTGTCCTAGGCTTTCTATTGATTGGGGGGATGCTTTTAAGAAGCCATTGTTGACCCCTTTTGAGGCAGAGATTGCGCTTGGGGATTTGGCTGGTTGGTGGGAGAAGAGTTTGGCTGCAAGTTCAGGGTGTGGCTGTGGTGGCAGTGGTTTTGGATGTGATGGGAAGAGTGATGGATCATGTTGTCGGTGTAATGATGGGGATGCAAAGGTTGTGGAGGAAGATTTTGGTGGTGAGTATCCCATGGATTACTATGCTCAGGATGGTGGGGAATGGAATTCTTCATATGTGAAGAAAGCAACTCGACCTGTCCGGAGAAATGTTGTGTCTTCTATTGGCAATGGCGCTGCTTCGTAACATCACTGAGCCATAAAACTGTAAACTAGTGTACCTTGGAAGGTTCTGAGATTTCTTACTACAAGTAAGCTGTCAAGTTCTTCCCATGCGTTTAATGTTCTATTGCTAACACTTGAGCTTATAAAAGTTTCTTTTGTATCCATTTTTTATGATTTTTTTGTAGTTTAGGAACTAGTATGTAGGGATTGTTGACTTTATTTTGAGTAAACACTAAAAATGTCGGACAAAGTTACTTATTATGAAGAACTATTATGCAATGGAAGTTCTGTATTATGAAGAGATGAAATTACCCTAGAGTGATATATTGGCACTTTTAAGAAATATCATGCATTTTTTTCTTTTTCTTTTTCCTTCTTGTTCTATGGCACATGAACGTAGAGAAATTATTTTAAATTTTTAATGCAATTAAATTTAGCACCAACTTGTAAGCAGTGGAAAACACAAGTTTAGACAGTCTAGTTCAATTCGTTCACCCAACAAAAAAGAGAACATAAATATTGTTTGGATATTGGCGAAGACCGTCGGTCTTTTGAAAATATTGTTGAGGTTGGCATTTGAAGATGAAAGGACTGAAATAATTGTTTGAACATTTTCTTTACTTGTTCTGGTAAAAATGTTGATTTTGATATATGGTAGTTATGGAGTACAGGGCTTAGGGTTGGAGGATAGGGAGTGGAGAAATAAATTCTTACCCGAACCTGATACATGACCTAGGATCATGTAGTAAACCTATCCGACTGCTAACTTTGTAGTAGTACTATGTTTCTGTTCTCTGTCTTTTGACCGTCAAGAACTATGTTTCAGGACAATGCAAAACATGTCAATTCTAACTACGAAAAAGATTTTTAGACAAAAATAATTTTGAATAAAGATCTACGACTGAAAATCCAGTACCACGGCAATTTATGAGTTAATGTGAGCTTATTATTGGTTCATAAACTACTGCACGATGTGCTTGTGAGTAAGATACACTCGTTACTTCTTATTAAAGTACTAAAAGAATTCATGTGAAGGGTTTATTATTATTATTATTATTATTTTGCATATAAAAACGTGCGAAGGGATCTTGAATATAAGCTAGCTGGGTTCTCAATCTCAATTTGCTTTGCCTTACCTTCTGCTTAAGGAGGAGAAATTAATTTCATCTTACTTCAGTAGTAATTAATAATATTTACTCCATAGAAAGATTGAAAGATGTAGATACAAAAAGGAGAAAAAAATAAAAAATATTTCTAAAAAGAAATATAAATATAAATATCTTTATCATTTTTAACATGAACAATGTGATTTTATCTCAGTTTCTTTGTTTGTAGCTCTACTCAAAGTGGGTTTTTAGAATAACTATCATTAGTTATTTCTTAAATATTTTAAAATTTGTCTCTCTACTTAAAGTGAGTCTATATAGAATATTGAATATTTTAAAATTTCTTCCTAAGGAGAGATGGATCATGAAAAATTCTACAATGCCTCCATTATAAATTCAAAATCAATGTCTTCGCCTCTCTGCAAATATGCAATTACAGTCACTGACTATATTTACAACTAGCATTTGCGATTTAAAACTATATTCGGATGCGATAAAAAACATTGCTGATGTCTGCGTTTTTTCTTGCTCGCATCGGCTCTTTTGTAACCCACATAATTACTGTCTGAGGCGCTCCTCCTCCTAGTATTAGTGGTTTGATTCATGCGGATGCCACAAGTGCTTATCAACAACCGAATCACTGACTCGAAAAATGCAAGTGACTATAACAAAATGCAAGTGACTTAGCCTTTCCCTGATGAAGTTGAAATAAGCTACCAAGCCAGGTGCTCTGCTTCATTTTTCAGACAACTTGTTCAACGTTACTCGTAGTCTGATGTTAGTTACCAATGATATCCAACTCGAAACTAAATTTTGGTCTGTCCAAGATGGATAAAAAAAAAAAAAACAAAAGATAAGAAAAATGCATTGATTTGGCTGATTTGAAATGAAATCACAAAGCTAGACTCATGATTGATTGTGTATGAAATGTATGATACTGATAAACAAGATACAAAATCGTTAGTATTAACCATTTGAATTCACAATTTCATCTTTAATGTAAAACAACTCCACCTTCATCTATAGATTACAGAGTTGTTCCTGTGTTGTTTTTACACCATGGTATCCATGCTTTCATCCCTGTTCCAAATCCATAAAGAAACTTCAGTGGACAAAATAGAACATCGGGTAAGGTTCACTTAATATTCATCCCAGGTAAAAACAAGCAGATCATAATGAATGGCGACTTACATAGGTTCAAGGCTGGAATTGCACCTTATTTTTTCTGCGAAGTCTTTGGTTTCAGTCAGTTGCTGGGTCCTGCAATATTACCGAGAATGTAACTAATGATGCAAGCAATACTAAATAAGTAATTCAAATGTTAGATTGCATTAGCATCAAGGGATTGTAACTCAGATGGGCAATGCTGAATTCCATCAAGGTTTAGGTCCAAAAGTTTCTACATGTAAAAAGCTTCAAGTGACAATCAGTAGATCACACTTCAAAAAGACACTTCATGGTCCTGAACCTATTGCCTGATCTCACAAGTTCAGAAATGTTTGCCAATTTTCAAGGGTTCAAGCATGAAGCAATCACCAACAACGACCATACAATAGCATAGTAACTTAACAAGCCAATAACTGAAATATTATAAGGAAGAGTTTTCACTTTCTCATTCATGGATCCAAATATGATTGAATTTTCTAAACTTCGAGAGTAGTAGTTACAAAAAGAGTTTATAGAAATGTAGCATCAGCAAGTCGAATACATATCCTCTGCTCTTCAGTTGTCAGAAAAAAAAGTCTTGCATTAATGAAAACTAAAAAAGAATAAAAGCGATATTTGCTGAAAACTGAATTTGCTAATGTTAGACAATGACCTTTGGACCATCATAAGTATATAGTGCTGACTCGCACAGGTTCCTTCCAAGTCCCCCTTAGTCTTGAAAAATTTTACACCAACTTGCTTAATGGCTAGATTTCTCACCAAGAGGTATTTGTTCAACCCAATGACAGCCAAAAGTATTTTGAAGAAAACCCACTGCTAAATCAGTAATCACATCCTTATTTCAATCATAAACCCTCACACTTCCCATGTTCTCGCCACATGTCTTCAAATTACAACAAATATTTGAGGTTTTAACCAACTTTAGTTTGTGATCACTTGCATATAAATTAGCAATTAACACCACTTCCAGCCCCTTCTATTTCTGATCCCAACATTGAGACCATAAACTATTCCAACCAAATGAAATAATATGTAGTTCCCACTGCCCACTACATAAGACTTTTGGGGACAGGTTTGAATATTCAACTCTGTCCAACTTGATTGAAAATCAAGGTTGTTTCCTGCTTAACAAATGCAGACAATCTGGACACCATAGGCCACTTGAATTATGAAAAACGATAAAAGAGAAAATTCTGGATTTCATTTTGAAATCGAGGTCCAGATAAGAAGATACCAGCAATTTATCCTATATTTGTGTTCTCCTTCATTGCTATACTATAAGTAGATAACTCTAATTTCCATTTTCTCCACAATATACAAATTAGTGCGTCCATACATTCCCCAGAATTCCAATTCCAGTAATTTCACCCTAAAGTCAGTTTAATATGATACAAGAACTCCATTGGCATCCCATCTAACACAAGGCCAGGACAAGTAAATTTAGCATGAATCACTCTTCCAAGGAAATCTCATTACAGAAAGCAGTCAGAAGATTACCATATTGATGTGTTACTAATACCAAGCCCATTGCATGTAAGTATCATTCCTTTAAATCTGGCAAGATATTCCTGCATTAAAATTAAAGAATTTCCAGATGAGGATCAATAAACCATACCTAAATATGAAATCAGCCTGACAAGAATCATTCTGCCATCTGGTATTGATGATACCAAAAAATTCTTACCCGCAAACTGTACTTATCAATCTCATATATTCCAGTTAAATCATAATCAAAGCGTGTAGCTGGATCACTCAACACTGCAGAAGAAAATATGAATAACAAAAGATATGAGCAGAAGTAATCGAAGTGAAGATACGCCACTCTGTTGAACTTCTAGAAATTGCTACTGCATCACCTCTTGCCATAACAGTTATCTTAAGACATTATCAGATGCATAAATTTGTTTAAGCCAAAAGGGATACATGGTTTGCAAATAGGATACCTATTACTTTCTGCATAGTTTTCTTTGTGTAACAAAAAACATGCTCTGCTTCCATACAAATGAGGAGGAGATTCAAAGTAAGAAATTACATCAATGTGTGTGTGTGTGTGTGCATGCGCACCCCCAGGTGAGAGTGCACATCTCTCTCTCTCTCTCTCTATGGGCACACACATGCACATGTGTGTTCATGATCTCTGTTGAAAGAGCAGAAACTATCATATGCCTTTTTTTTAGCACATTCATGTGTACCATTTTCCAACACCTATTTCAAAGGCCTTGAAAAACAAAGTCAGCTGACGGCTACTGCATTTTATGTGTAAATGAATAACTTGCCTTGATTCATCTAAAATTTTTCTTATATCCTCATATGCATTTTGCAAGAAAATACGAAAACAATTCATTAATTTCTACAAACTGTAAACAAAGTAATTGGGCCGGAATAACAAACTAAATTTCCCAATTGATGCACTGGAAACAATATGCATCGCACATGATAAAATTCAGACTTGAGAGCTACCTTTGTAAGCTTCATTGATCTCTTGAAATTTTGCAGTAACTGCACTATCACCCTGGTGCTTATCAGGATGCCACTTCTACAAACAAACAAAAATTTCATGAAATTTTTTAGTCAATGTCAAAAGTTATTAAAGAAAACAGTTATTGAATCAAGAAATGCAAAGCTCACATAAGAAGCTGCTCAGAGAAGATGCACCACTAACCAGCGCAAGCTTTCGGTAATTTAATCTTATCTTCTCATCTGTTGCATCATACTCAACCTCCAAAATTTTGTAGTAATCCTATACAGAGCAAGAGCTTCTCATAAGATGAAATAGACAAAACCATGACATGCAAAAATCTCCACGATGGAAAAGCATTGCAACTAACAGGCTTACAGACATGACATCTGAAGGAATCATTAAACGGTCCCTGAAAAAGAGACCTCATAAATAGGAATAAACACCAGACAACAGGACTATGAGTTGCAACTATTTTCCAATTACAGAATTTAACTAACAAGAGGATAACACAACATATGGAAGAAGGTGCAGATATGCTTAATCAGCAAAGATTCAAGCCTTTTTCTTAGGCTATTTCATCATTCCCTCCAATTTTTTAATATACTTCAATCCCCTAATCTTTTATTGCAAAAGAACTTTCTAGTGCAGAACTTTATAAGGGAAGATGCTCTTTATCCTGTAACATTTCTTTTGTCAAATGACCATGACACTCATAGACCACCACCTCCATGTCAACAGCCAATATTTTGATGTCATGTACTATTCCAAAATTCATACACAGATTGAAAGGTAAGTGCAGCACGCATCCAACTGGCCAACCAGAGGAAACATACCAATGGTTGGACAAGACTTGGAAGTAGATGAGGATATGTTGATCTATAGAAAATCCAGTTTCTTGTCACATGATTCTGACATTGAACAACCCCCAACCCTTCATCCGAAAAAAATAAAATAAAATAAATCCCTGAACCTTTCAACTTAAAGGTCATTGGTAAAGTCTCATATCTCATTGCTTAAATGTGAATTACATTTTATGATTTGCAATTACAACATGTATATCTAATAAAGCATGAGCACCTAGTGATAAAATAAAAAAACATTGGTGTAACAAAGTTTCATCTCAGAAGGGGGAAAAAAAAACAAAAGTACCAATTTACACTTCACTGACAGTAATAAGCAATAGAACGGAAGGAGCATTAAAGATTGCAGGATGCCAAATATGCTACAAATGGAACAAGCTTGCAATAGAATAAACTTGTCATGGCATTATATCTCTGTTCTAAGAGCAAGCATAACTTGATTATCAAAAAGCAGAACAAATCAGGTAGCGAAAAAGTTGAAGAAAAACATGGAATTTTTCTTTTCCTACAATATCAGTAATAAAACCCAAGTCCATGTTTCTTAACGATGAATACAAGCTTACTCAGTTGGAAAATAAGTTTCAAGTAAATGCACTACAAAACATCAACAGTATAACTTCCCTTTTCGGTCTAACATTAGAGCAGGTCAACTCACATATACATCAAAGAATACTAACAACTCCAAACAAAGTTGAACCAATTATTTACCATGAATTATCAACAACCCAGTTCATTTATTATTCATCCCAACGATTTGTCATCACAAAAGAAAAGAAAAGAAACTAAATTAAACCCCCAAAAGGGTATAAAGGATAAGCAATTGTACACCTTTTGAGCAGTGTTTTCATTGCCTTCCATATGCTATGCTGATGGGTTTGTTGTGGAGAGGAATTTGCGCATACTTCATCTCATAAAACCAAAAAAAAAAAAAAAAAAAAGGATATTGATGGGATCTTCTCAAAATTGCTGACAGTATATATATTTGAAAAGTTTTTTTTTTAAAAAAAAAGAAGAAGAAGAATGAAAAAGGGTATTTTGTGGTGGAAATGAAAATGATTGAATGGAAGGAGAGGTTCTTTGATTGCCACAACAACACTTCACTCTTTGGATTTGTAAATTGTACGAATTGGATCTCGAATTTTTCTTTTTTCTTTTTATTGTTGATGTCTGCTTATGATCCACGTGACATGCACGTTTAGACAAAAGAGAAACGAAGGCCTTAGCCTGATGCCTGTCTTTGCATTCTTTGGCTTAGAATATTAATTGTCTTTGCCAAAGAAGACTCAATTATTGTTCATAAATTAAATGAATAGTTGTTATAATTGACGAGGACCTTGGTTGATGATGTGTGATGAGATGACTTTTCTCTTGATTGATGCAACTGATGATGTATGGTGATTCAATTAGCAAAGCAAGATTTTTTTTTTTTTTTTTTTGGGTGTAAAAAAGATTATTCAATAGCTAAATTAGCGTTTTGAGAAAGATGATGTTCATAATATCATATTTTGTCGTAAAAAAAATATATATATATTTAGAAGATAATAAACATTAATTATGAATTTAGAGATTTGACATTTTAAGCTATTTTGACATTTATGTAATCACAGATCTCACCAAATCGTCTGAAAAGATGGGTAAAATGGTCAATTCCCTTGACACCAAAAGCTTCTAATATCAACTTGAGCCACAAAAGTTTTTGATATTGACAAAAATGAATTTACAAGAAGGTGGCAGTGTCACGATTACTATTGATCGGATAGAATTAATCATAGACTAACTACTCTCGTTTAGTAGTCGTTAGATCTGTTTTTCTAACTAATGGGATTGAGATCAGTTGTCCAAACCTACTGTTTGGGATGAAATTGTCTGAAACACCCTTAGAATTGTCTTTCTGGATGTCCGTTGTCGGGAATTATACGAGGACCCTCCACGTTATCAAGATATATCAATAATAATAATAAAAGAAAAGTAAAGTCATCATGTATCCTCCTTCAACTTCTTTCTCTACATTCAGATAGATATAGCTGTCTATGATCATAAAAAAATATTGGGAGAGTGGATTGTAGTCAATTGTAGCTAAAATCGAAACTCCAACGTTAGATTTGCTAGCTCTCTGCACCAGCGCAGCATAAGCAAATATTCCTCACCAATGTCGAAGAGCAGCAGCAACAGCTCACAAAGAATCACATGTAAAGGTATATATATCATCTATAAGTTGGTTTCATGCTCGTACCCACATACGTACACAGAACATAGTCATTTTGGGGGAAAGAAACTCATAATTTGTTTTTGTCATATGGGTTCCGTACGTCTGTCATAAGCAGCAGCTGTAATATGGGGAATAGGGGAACCGTTGAAGGTTGAAGTGATAGAAATAGAAGCACCAAAATCCACTGAAGTTCGAGTGAAGATGCTATATGCAAGCATATGTCACACTGACATCTTACGTTCCAAAGGCAAAGGAGATCCTATTGTAGTATTAATTTAACACTCTTTCCATCCCTAATTATCCATGTCTTTCCAGCTTTGACCATTAATTAATTTTATCTCCTTCTCTTTTTTCCAGCCACTCTTTCCTCGAGTCCTGGGCCATGAAGGCGTTGGGTAAGTCCTCTCTATCCGAAATGTATAGTTTGCTCAGAGGCTGGGACTAGCTGATGAATAAAGCTCTTATATATATATATATATATATATACAATTTGATTGAAGAATGGTGGAGAGCGTTGGGGATGAAGTAAATGGTCTTGAAGAAGGAGATTATGTGATACCAACAATGTTGGCAGAGTGTCGAGCCTGCGAGAATTGTACATCTCCAAACACCAATCTATGCCTCACCTACCCTTTAGATCGCAATGGTCTAATGTTAGATGGTACTTCAAGAATGCACATCAGAGGCCATAAGTTGTACCACATGTTTACTTGCTCCACATGGTCTGAGTACATGGTTGTCGATTCCAATTATGTTCTCAAGATTGATCCAAGTATAGTTCTGCCTCATGCCAGTCTATTATCGTGTGGATTTTCAACTGGATTTGGGGCAGCTTGGAAGGAAGCTCAGGTTAAAAAGGGATCAACTGTGGCTGTTTTAGGCCTTGGTGCTGTTGGACTAGGGGTTTGTTTTGTTCTTTTCCATATGTATATATATATTCAAGTAAAAATATTTTCCCATTTCTCTCTCAAATGTCTTTCTAAATGCAGGTCATAGAAGGAGCTCGAATGCAAGGGGCAGCTAGGATAATCGGCATCGATAAGAATAGCATGAGAAAGGAGAAGGGACAAGTTTTTGGAATGACTGATTTCGTAAACCCTGATGAGTTTGATGTATCTATTTCACAAGTGATAAAAGACCTTACTGGTGGAATGGGAGTGGATTATTGCTTTGAGTGCGTTGGTGCTGAGCCCTTGGTTAATGAAGCCATTCAAGCAACAAAAGAGGTACTAAATACTATTTTGCTATAAAACATTCTTAACTCAGGTTGTGATGTTTGGAATGACAAAGAGGAAGAATCAACTTTTATAGTTCTCTTCTCTTTCTTGTTGGTTGTTAGGGGAAAGGAAAAGCAATAGTGATAGGCGGAGGAATCAAGAGCGTAAAGATAGATTATTTTCCTCTTTTGAGTGGTAGAACCCTAAAGGGAAGCATTTTTGGAGGGCTCAAAGTAAAATCTGACCTCCCCATTGTAATCGACAAATGCAAAAATAAGGTATGTTCTTCTCAAATTTTAGTCAGATTGCTTCCAAAAGCATAACATGGAACACATACATAATTGTGTCAAGAAACAGATGAATAGAAGAAATAAGACCATAGTTTTAAATTGCAGATGCAATTGAAAAAATGAATGCACATCACGGCCTACCACAATAGTAAAACAACAACATGGCTGTTATATATCGTCGAATAACGATAACAAGGTGTCCTAAAACCATTATATAACGATCGTTATTTAAATCTATAAATGAGACCATTTGCCTTACTTGACAGCATCCTATATATTATTGGAAAGAAAATGTATGTATCAAGAGAAACTTATTTGAGTTCTACTTTCTGACAGGAATTCCATATCGATGAACTTTTGACTCATCAAGTTACATTACAAGATATAGAGAAAGCATTTGAGCTGTTGAAGCAACCAGATTGTGTGAAGGTGCTCATCAAGATTGATTGAATTTAGACTACTAAATAAAACGACATTGGAAAAAATTACAAAATACTAAAAAGAATGCTTCATGTATTGCCTGCGAGAAGCCCTCTCAAAGTCTAGCAAACTCATGTACTGAGTTTGATGTCTTCACTTTTTGATCTTCTACCGTTATTCACTTTTTGCTTTTTCAAAAGCTCTTTCAAAAACCACTCTTAGATTACTGAGATAGAAGTGATCCGGAATTCAATTAGTTAGAGGTTTAAAAACAAACAAATCATGCTTGAACCCGTTATAGAGGTGCTAACGAGAAATTTTATAATACACTAGGAGTAACTAATGACATGTCTAGTAGTTACTTCATGGGTCTATTTTAAAGAAAGAGAGATAGACACATAAAAAAGATAGAAATTACATCTATACCTATCAAAAGTCTTAAGAAGATTTTTATGTCCACTCAACACAATAGTTATTTTCTCTCTCCTGTTTCTCTCTCCCTTTTTTTGTATGTCTATCTCTTTCCTTAAAGTGAGTCCATGAAGTAACTATTGTATATACCACTAGTTACTCCTAATGTATTATAAAATTTATCGATGCTAACTCATAGTTTGAAATAGCAATCATTAGATAATATAACAGACATCGGACACACCCTTTATCGTTATTCATCACTAGAAAATCGGTTTAACTATTTCACATAAATTGCTATATTACATAAAGATAACCATCGTTATTGTCGCTATCTAAAAGATATCAGCCGTTGGTTTTTTTTTTAATAAAAAAAATAATATTAAACTATTAAAAATATTTTTTTAATAATAAATTCAACTATTATTATATAATATTATTCTATTAAAAATATTATTATACTTAATTAGTAAAATTATTTAAAAAAATATAAATTACAATAAATATATTAACAGTCATTCATACTTACATATCCGTTACTACGACCGGTTGGTTTTTACAACTGCATACTCTATTAAAAATTATTCTGAGGCCCCAATTTCCACTCTGCTATGTTTTAATGTGAAGCTGAGCAGGCAATTATGAATTATTGCCTAAATCTCATAACCAATAATTTACATAAGAAAATTCAGAATAAGAAAGATTTGAAAATTATCAAAAAAAACCGACTACAATATTTTGTTAGAACTTAAAACCACGCCCAAACAGGGACACCAAGGCTTCAGGAACAAATTGGATTGACATGAACAAACTAGAGAGAAAATCTGCATCGTGCTATAACGGATATACACATGATTCCTGAGGATCAGTTCAGAGATCCGTATCACTATCATAGCCCAAAAAGAGAGATCATCCGATCTCACGAGCAAGACTTTTTACCTTGTTCTAAAATTGATAAGATCTAGCGGAAAGGGCAAAACAAATGAACGAAGTCTAAAAGCAGCTGTAGAAGGTTGTTTATACGGGGCTTTCAAACATAATCTTTAAACTTTTGCACCAACAAAATGGCTAACTACAAGGTTCATATTCTCATTTAAACATCACAGAAGCAAGCTTTGATCAACAATGGCAAAAATAGATGGTACATGTCTGATTTTTAAACATAATGTGGTCTCGAAGATTATTATGAACAAACAGAAACAAGTCTCACATTGTAGCTTCCACCTCAGGATCAGCTTCGAGAGGCACAGGGGGTGAATTACTGCCACCTCTCAGTCGAGAAGATACTTTGTCAATAGCAGAATTCAGTTGGCTGATTTTTGCATTCAAGGTCTGCCTAGTCTTCTGCTTTTCCGGAAAAAAGGAAGGGTGTCCAATGTTAAACTTCTGTACAGCTTATCCAACAAGCAGAAAAGATGCATGATGAATGAACAAAATGTCATTACCTCTAAACCTTCATCATAATATATTGGTCGCTTGGCCCTCCGAAATCCATATTCATCTTCATTTAGCAGGGATCTTCTTATCTGAAACAATACAAGAAAACAAACACGGAACCAGCACTTATAAAATAAACAAGAACTTCATAAGAGTAATAGACCATAAGCATTTCTCAGACAAGAACAAAGAACAACATTCCTTTGGTTTCATCCGACAACAATATATTCAATAAAGCATAGATGATCCATTTTTGTTCTTGCATAGAAGAAACTTCAGCAATAATGATTAGTTGTGGCGAGCCATGTAGCATCCAGAAATGGAAGAAAAGTATACAGCAAAATATGCAGAAAGCTACAAGTAATGAAATAAGAGACTAGTGTTACTCTAATAGTTTATTTAATGACAAACTGCATTTATGTACTGCCATAATCATTAGATTAGTTAACAGGAAGGTAATGGGAGAACCCACATCATATAATGGAGAAACAAAAGGACGTCAAACAGCAGAGCATTATGAATTTTCAAGATGAAGGATGTTGCATAAATGCCACGTAATGGTATCAAAGTGCAATAGTTGTTCATAACCGATAAATACATAACAAAAAATGACAGGCAATCATACTGATTCTAATGTTACATCTGCACAACAAGCAAAATCTTTCTGAGAAGCATAAACACTGAACAACCACCCACTTCATTTGGACATCCAGAATAGACATGACCTGGTGCAACATGTTCCAGCCAATTATTGTGCAAAGGTTGAGCAACTTGAGACATACAAATGATTCATTTCAATGAAGGAAAGGTTTGCCTTTTGCAGTTAACTAAGTGTCATCATGTTAGGTCCTTTCGAAGGAAGCATTTCAGTTCTTTGCAGCCCAAATTATTAAAAGGCAAGATATCTAATCACCTGAGGAGCAAAAATATATGCTAAAGTTCCACATACAGCGCCTCCTAAAAGAAATCCAGCAACAAAATCACCACCACCACCCCTACTACCATCACTGCATATAACAGAGAGAAACAAGAGAAGATGTTGATGAGTTAAATCAGCAAAAGTGGAGGGATACTTGAAACAATATCTGCCTAAGGGAGAAAAGAATTGACTTCACAACTGTTCAATAGACACAGCCAGTGGCTCAGCTCAGATAAGAAAAATGAGATGGATGCAGTTGGGGTTCAACTCTTTATAGTTAAAATGGATATCAGAGGTTTAATCCAATTGCGTCAAGAACCCTCTAATATTTACTCCTTCAGAAGTGTTCCCTACCATAAGTTGTGAAAAGAAAATGGCCTTAGCTATGGAAGCAAAGTTTTACCCTCAACATGTAGGCAAATCACATTTAAGTACCAGTGTGAAATGAGCATCTCAGTTTTACTGTCCATATGCATCACCACTTTATTGGATTTGCCTATTTGCGAGTTTCACAAATCTACACGCAGGTGATAAACATTATGTCAACGAAATGGTCCTCTAACAAACACTATAGCAACTAATAAAAAAAAAAAAATAGAAATCAAATCCAAAAATCATTGAAAGATGTAGAAGGCGCCACCATTTGAAAATACTTTCCATCAAAGCAAATTAACGACAGGTTAACAAAAACATAGAAATAGAAACTGCAAAGAAGACAAAGATAACGGCCATTTCTTGACATGAAATATGAATACCACCACAATCATGACTAGGCTTCTGCGTTGTCATATCAAACAAATTCTATGTATGTGTTTTATTTATAAGACAGGAATCAAGAACAAGAAGAAGAACAACAACAACATACTCGTATTCGGCACGAACTGCCAAATTTCGGCTGTTCGATTTCCTTCCAACAGCTACTGCCAGTCTCGGTGCTTTGGCAAATGAATTGGATTTTGTCGACCAAAGTTCACGTGCCTTAAGTTGAGATCCACCACCTACACCCAAACCCAAATAAAACTAACTGACAGAATTCTCTTCTCCTATACTATAATATAATCAAGATTTTCAAAATATTAGAAAAATGAAAAGATAAATAATACTACTACATACAAAATTATAGAATCAGGGAACTTTTCTCAACAAAATTATATATATCAATAACGTTGGAATTGTTTCTAAAAAAATCAGAATAAATTTTGAGTTAAGCAAGTTCCTTTGTTTTCTCAGGAAATACTAAGGGAAAAAAAAAAAAAAAGCAAATCCCAATCAAGAAACCCTTTTCCCTATCAAGAAATCCTCTATAAACTAGAAGGAAGAAGAAGAATTATATACCTGATGAGATTGAAACAGGAACAAAAGAAGTAGCCATGGAGATCTAGTAGCCCTAGAGAGAAGGAAATGCCAGAGAGAGAAGATAGAGAGTGTGTAATGTAACGAAGAAGAAGAAAATGCTGTTAGTTATTCTTACTTGCAGTCTTTGTCCCTACGCAGCTACGCTCTTCCGTTTTTTAATTTCGTTAATTTCCAATTATATCCCTGTACATTTACAGCAAATCGTAAGCCATTCTTTTTCATTAAAATTTATTTATTTAGTTTCGTTCGATGGCATAATTTATTTACCACTAAATTATTGTGGTAGTAACAAAATAAGATTTATATTATCAATTTAAATTATTTAATCTTAAAATATTAATTTTTAGATTTTTTTTCATTATGTTTGGCGTTTAAAGTATTGAATGATAATTGAAACATTTAAAATACATTGTTTTAATATATATATATATATATATATATATATATATATATATATATATAAAAAATTAATTTAAATGATTTCTTTTTTTTTTTTTACTAGATGGATTCATTACACATTATTAATTATCTAACAATATAAAACATATCCATAAACAATCAAAATACTTTAAGTGGTTTTTTTTATTTTATGTGCATTTCATGTAACTTCCAGTAAAAACCCTTATCCGTAACGCGACGTGTATTAGAATAATTCTATATACATGTATATTAAGAGTAAGTATAATTATCATTTCATCATGAGAAATTAATGCTTGAAATATGTTATTTATGTTAAATTAAAGTTATTGTGCTTAAGACTAATGGTTTAATTATTAAAGAAATCAAATATGCAAAATCAGTATTTTAAGGACTATATTACTGCCCGCTTTTTTGGTGAATTATTTGAGGACTTTAGGGTCATTTTTGGGTCAACCTTAAAGAATGAAAGTTGTTCATCTATGTGTTGACTAGATCTGTATAAAAGTTTATAATATTTAGACCTATACATTAAGAGTTATACAAATTATAGCGAGGGTTATTTCGAAATACATTCTGTTGGAATTTTAGGAGAAGAATCTGCCCGAATCTTGTGAGATTTATTTGATGCTGTTAGATTGATTTTTGAGAAAAACTTAAAGAATAAAAGTTATTTTTCTATGTGTCTACTAGCTCTTTATAAAATTTAATAATTTTTGGATACATATATAAAGAGTTATGCACATTTTAGTATAGATGGGTTAGGATGAAACACTGCTGGAATTTTGGGGGAAAAGAAATTCCGAATTTTTAAAAATGGAAATTTCTTAATTTTTATAAAAGAAAGTTGTTTTAGTTACTTTAATTAAGTTAATTAATGATTTTAATTAGTCTAAATTTTATATAGACACCTAAGCAAATGCAATAAATGAATTTAATGCCAACTCACCCATTATGGATTTCAAAGCAACCAGCTTTTCTCATGACTCACCCATAACCTTTACACCTTATCCCATTAATTTTTAACACTTGTAGTTGAATGAAAGTAAGTATATATATATATATATCAAGTGTTAAAATAGGAGAAAAATTTTAGTAACTCGTAGGTACCGGAAATTGAGAGAGAAAAGGCAAGAAAGAAAAGAGAGGAAGAAAAATGTGAGGAGAGAAAGGAAAGGAAAGAAAAAGAGCTAAGAAAACTATAATCAACCCTAAAAGAGGTAAGTAGGTTTCATTTTTTTTGGTTGATTAATGTCTTAAATGATTTTTTAAAAGTTATTTTGTTAGTGTTTATTTCATAGGTTGTAATAATTTTCAATGGTTATATGCTTGATGCTTGGGATAAATCTATGTATGGATGCCTTGTTGTGATGATTTATGATGTTATGATTTTTTGAAAAATTTCCAAGTATGTGGTAATGGTTTGGATTGAACTTGGACTAAATTTAAGTGAACTAAAACATGTTTAAAATTGGCTTGGAATGAACTAATAAATTAGTGTTGATAAGGAGTAAATTCTGTCCGAATTTTGGGGTGTATGTTCAAGGATTTTAGATCGATTTCTAGGTGAAACTTAAACAATAAAAGTTGTTCATCTATGTTTCAACTAACTTCCTTTAAAATTTCGTGATCAATGGAATCGTGTACAAAGCGTTACATCCAATTTAGTATGGATAGCTCTAGATAAACTACTATTAGGCAGATTGCTCCCTAAGTTTCAAAAATTTGTAATTAATTGTGTACTTGGTATTTAGACCAAATTTTTGGATATGTTATAAATAAATATGTCTAGTATCTAAAATAAAATGAGTAAGATTTAATTATTTTCTGAAATTAGAAAATTATTTACTCGATTAGGAGTTGCACTGGTAATAAACCCTAAAACAAAAAAAAATAGACTTTGACAAAATTAATAGGTTTGGAATAAACTAAATGAGCTTGGACTAAATAAAATGGAATTAAATAGAGTCAATGGACCTAGGATAAAGTTAATGGACTCGGATTAAAGTAAATGGACTTCGACCTTCTTTTAAATATTAATGAAACTAATGAACAATATTAATGAGCGGAGATTGTGTTCCCGTTGTAGGTATCATGATTGGTATGTGAGCAATGGATAAATTTCGAGTGTGGGTTGGACCATGAGTATGGCATGAGAATGAAGGGCTGGTACCCGAATTTGGTTGAATGTGATTAAATATGTCATCACGTGCATCATGTGCATAGTGGGTGGTTTAAGACAAGTCAATTGATTGAGAAATGATTTATACATCTAGATTTGATAACTTAAGCTGAAATAAATGGGTATTAGTAGTCCAATACTCTAGGATGTGTGCACGCACTATTAGACGATGGATTTTCGATAATAATAGTTACAACGAGGGATAATTCCGTTGTAACAAAAGATGATCCGAGGATCATTTGGATGAAATCAAGGCATGTGTGCTTGCACCTTGTTAGACGATGAATTTCCGCTAACGGTAGTTACAAGGAGGGATAATTTCGTTGTAGCGAGAAAGTGATCTGCGGACCACCCGGATGATAAATAGAGTAGACTAGCTAATATCCAAGGTACTCGAGATTAAAATTTATGAGTATGGTGGGAAGTCAAAACGACATTGCTTATCACGTGCATCACTCCGCTTACCGAGCTTCGGCTCACCCTGTTGTTATTTTTTTTATGTCTTGAACAAAAAGGACAAGTTGGTACGGATGCGGCTGGCTCCTCCTAATCGGCTCATGTGAGGCACCATCTATTAGTTTTTATTTTGTACGTAAATTTAGGGTATGGAGTTCGTGAGAAATTGAATATCGCCTATAATATTTTATTAATGTATTTAATTATGTTATATAAATTTTATCTTAAGGAGTTATATACGTAATGTACTCTTAAAGTCCTAAGAATATCATAAGAACACTACTTAGAGTTTAAGGTATGTCGGCGTAACGCGCTTCGTCCGATACCTACTAGGTAGTAGAAATATGATTGGGGCGGGGGCGTTACGGTATGGTATCGGAACAATGGTTTAGGGAGTTGGGTAGAACCGTAAGTGCCACGTGAGCCTAAGGACCGGTTTGCTTCTTGGATGGGTAATTTTAATTTCGGTTCTCTTAAACTATGTATGTTTTTTTTATTGTGTAATGTGTATAAAATTTTGTTTGAAATTATTAATAACAACAAACCCTATCACTTGTAGATGCCGGCTTTGTATCGAGTACCAAGCATGCCTAGAACGCGATGGCAACGGACAACGCTAGCTGCGTTTAGGACCGAGCTAAATAACCTCACTATGGTTTCGAACGAGACTCGGTGGCATATATTATGCGATTTCATGACCTACTTCGGCGAATCGCATTCGCCGATGCCTCCTTTAACCAATATTTTAGCTCGGACTTCCTTCGGATAACTTTACGTCGGACTCTTCCATCGGGAGACCAACGATTGTTAGATAAAGTTTGGGAAGATATGATAGACCAACACTCTTATCGAGCTCTAATTCGGACCTTTTTACCAACCCGAGCCGGACGATCTCTCATTCGGGCGATGTACGGATGGGGACTACCCTTACCCATTGCTCGTGAGATAGTCCATGCGGCAATAGAAAACCGCATTGATCGGTGGTTACTAGAGAGTTCTTTTCCTCGACGTGTTCGATAAATAAGTTAATAGGAATCTCACCACATGTCGTGGTGTCTTTTGTATGTTCTATAATATAAATAGGAGTGCTTTTGATTGTAAATATAGCACGAAAACCTAGTAAAGGTGTGTATGAGATGCTTACTATGTATAAAAATATATAATTTCATACGAGCATGAATGATTAGCATTAAATGCTAAAATCCATACTAAACTAATGTGAACTTAATGTGTACATAAAGATAAACTATGCCATTAAGAAAGAACCCCGTACGAGCGGAGGTGAAGGGACCTCCAATGATAATAGCTCGAACCAGCAAGAAATGTTGAATCAAATGATGGAAATAATGCAACGACGAAGCAACAAACTCTACAACGAACAACAACAAGTTCACACGGAACAAATGAGGCGAGCTTTTAGCTATACAACAATAGCCTCCACCTCGACACGGGAATGATGCGGTAGAAAGGTTCCGCAAGATGAACCCTCGAGAGTTTGCTTGGGGAGTGAACCCAATGATAGGCGAGGAGTGGATTAAGTCTCTGGATGCAATATTCGAATATCTACAGTTTGTCAACTAAGAACGAGTGTCGTGTGCTATTTTCCTATTAACTAAGGATGCTCGCACATGGTGGAAGAGCGCACGACTAACCGTAGATGTGTCAACTTTAACTTGGGAAGGATTTAAGGAGGTCTTCTATAATAAATACTTTACCGCAGATGTGAGGGCCAAGAAGATTCAAGACTTTCCGGAGTTAAAACAAGATGGGATGTCGATCCGTGAATATGTACGAAAGTTTGAATAAGGTCTGTAAATTCGTCCCATTTATTACTGGGGATGAAAATCTAAAAAGGAACAGATTCCTAACGAGGATTAAACCCAAGAGTGCGAAGTATGGTACGGATGTCGACTGCCGATACCTTCTCGAAATGGTGGATAAGGCAATGATAGTCGACGAAG